AATATTTCTATCTTTAACAGTAAATATACAAACTAGATAAAAGTACCATACAACCAACAGCTACAAACATCTCCCAACTTTTTTTCTCATTTGCAAGAAATCATAAACTTTATTTCCTTAAAAATACAGGTTTCTGAAGCAGAAGGATCACAGCTGGAGGCCAGCATGGGCAACTTAGCAAGACTCTGTCTCAGAATAAAATAAAAAAGGCTGGGATGTAGTTCAGTTGTAAAGCATTTGACTAGCATACATGAGGCCCTTCATTAATCCCTAGAAATGCATGAGAGCCTAAATTCTGAGTTCAATCCCTAGTACAATGTTTTAAAGAATAAAAGGATCCTGAAGGAAATGTTAAAATTTAGATTAGAGGATGAGAAAAGCTAAACAAAAACCACTTAGCTCAGGGGACAGACCAAGTTCCTCCTCCTTTTTTTGGTTTTTTGAGACAGGGTCTCACTATGTAGTTGAGATTGACCTGGAACTCACAGCGATCCTCCTACCTCAGCCTCCCAAGTGCTGGGATTACAGGCATGCACCAACATGCCCAGCATCCTCTGATATTTATCTGTTTCTTCCCACAAGGTAATTTTTTTCTTTACAAGTGGTTAAAAAATGCTTAAAGTCCTTATAGTATAGCCAAGGAACCTCAACCTGTTGTAAAAGCATTAAAGTCAGTGGCCATAGAATTCCTTCTTCCCTTCCTCCCTCTTTCTTTCTGTACTGGCGATTGAACTCAGGACCTTGTGCTTGCAAGGCAGGCGCTGCCTTATGGTACCAGGAATCGAACTCAGGATTTTGAGCTTACCAGGCAGGCAGCATGGCAGATGGTGGCATCACTGAGCTAAATCTCCAGCTCTATATACTATCTTAACTACATATGGGTAAGTTTTCTCTTTAAAGGTTGTATGAAGAGAATAAAAGTATAATACGTAACAGCTGAATATTAGAATATAAAACTAAACAAGGTGATTTCTGACCATTTGTACTATGTCAACTTATTTCTAGTTGGCACTGTTTTGATTACATATGAAGACTAAGTGGAAGGCTGATGTTCCAAGTATAACATTATTTTAAGGATATGAAAAGTATGTAAATTAAGCTTTCTTTTTTAAAAGCATGTTGTAGGGCCAGGGATTTAGCTCTGTGGTGCCATGCCTGCCTCAAGCACAAGGTCGAGTTCAATCCCCGGTACTGCAAAAAACAAACAAACAAAAGCATGTTGTAAATTAAAGGTTTAAGAATATGCAACTGAGCCGGGCGTGGTGGTGCATACCTGTAATCCCAGCACTTGGGAGGCTGAGGCAGGAGGATCGCTGTGGAGACCAGCCTGGGCTACATAGTGATTTCCAGGTTAGTCTCACTATAAAAAAAAAAAAAAAAAAAAAAAAAATGCAACTGGGAAGGTACAAAGATAGTATCACTTAAAGTATTTCATAAAGGTGAATACAAAAGTTGATTAATAACTTGTCTTAACATTTTTATCAGCTTAAAAAAATACCTAATAGCTGTATGTAACCTACCTCTGCCAATGGTTATCTCAGTCACCTGAGTCAAATAACTACTCTGAGATTCTGTTTATCTCTGAAATATTCATATAACAGAAGATTACTTCCAACTCTAAAATTTTACATTTATTTGTATTTCATTATATGCTGTTCGGTTTCTTTGCATTTTAGCTATATATCAATTAATCTGGAAGATGTACAGCAAATTAAAAAATGCCCCAGTCTTACTGAAAAGGCATTCGCACACACATACACACACTTCAGGAACATGTTTTTTTGTAGTTCAGGCTGGCCTCAAACTAGTGTGTGTTGGGATTACAGGGAGTATCTCCACACCTGGCTAGGAACTTGTAGTTTTTGTGTTTTTTTTGGTATCAGATCAAATTTGGGTCCTTGCGCTTGTGAGGCAGGCACTGGAACCACTGAGCTAAATCCCAGGCTCAGGAACTTGTAGTTTTAGAAGGGTTCAACAGTTCTTTGTTAAGTAAAAATCAAATATAAAATAAACAGGAATAGAAATAGCTAAGTGATAGTCAACACAGATGGTTTGAAAATGTTATAGTCAACAAGGGTGATTTAGTTAGGCCTCATATTTGTACTTGTTTATATATCATATTGCAGCACAAAAACATGCCCCATATCTTGCTGTCAAGGTAACAATAAATCAGAAAATTGATCCATATGCATTGAGTGCAATCATTTCTGATGTTTACAAAATGAGTGTAGATATGAATCAGGGTTTCCTTGGATCTCAAAGTCTCTGCTTTCTCTTTAGTGTTCCTTATCTCTTATTTCTCTTCTATTTTTAAGGAACTGATAGTCTGAAATTTAATACCCAATTTTTGCTACTTGTTCATATCAGTTGATTTTTTTTTTTTTTGTTTTTTTTTTTTTTTTTTTTTGTACCTGGGATCGAATTTGGTTCCTTGCGCTTACAAGGCTGGCAGCAGAACCACTGAGCTAAATCCCCGGCTAGTTCTTTGAAATATTACTGCTAATGATTCATGACATGTACTTTTTTTATCAAAAGCTAAAAGATGTAGACCTCACACAATTGAATTCAGTGGTTATTTTGAAGAGAATGATAAAAATTCAGTTGCCTTTAGAGGATTTTATGCACTGTTATGTATTTTATACACTTCTATGTCTTATAATTTCTTAAGAAAACAGACTTTATTCTTAAAGCTTTATTGTATCTTTCTCTGCTAAAAACAGAAGAAAGCTTTCCCTCTGCCAAACTTGTCCCAGGCAAACATAAATGCTTTTCCAAATTAGAGCCCAAGTCTTCTTTAAATATCAGTATGTGATAATTAGGACAAAGTAGCAGTCTTTTAAATTTCATGAAAGCTAATGCTCAGATGGTGGTTTTGGCCGTTTTGCAGATGGTCCATCTGAGTTTGAGTTAGCTCTTTTATCAATGTTATTTTCATCTTCTGCATCATCTTCACCATTACCTTTTAAAATAAAGATTTGTTGTTTGACATTATATTCAGTGGTAGAGAAATAAAGACCGAATAAATGGTTAGAACGAGACCCATTTCATTTTAAGGATTAATAAAACCATGCTTATTTTGTATTAAAAGATTTCAGAAATTTCAGTATTTAAAACCTTTCTTTTCTGCCACTTTCTTTTTTTGGAGATACAATTCATTTAACATAACATTCACTCTTAAAAGCATATAACTCAGGGATTTTCTGTATACCTATTTGCTTCCATTACCCCCAAATTATCTACCTTTCCATTCTCCTTAGCCCTTGCAACTAATAGTCTGCTTTCTATCTCTATGGATTTGCCTATTCTGGACATTTTATATAAATTCAATTTATAATGTGTGGTCCTTTTTATGTGACTGTTTTCAAAGTTCATTTCTATTATAGCTTGCATCAGTTCTTCCTTTTTGCTAAAAAATATTCCATTGCGCAGACACCCACAAATTACTTATGGAACAATCAAGTTGATAGATATCTGTGTCGGCTCTGCTTTTTAGCTTTAAAGAATAATGCTGTTATGTACGTGTGTAAGTTTCTGTGTACAGATGCTTCCAGTTCTCGAGGCGGGGGGGGGGTGTCTCGCAGTGGAACCACCTGATTGTAATTTGAAGTTTTTGAGGCATTGCCAAGCTATTTCAAGTGGATACACCATTTTACATTTCCACCAACAATGTACTAGGTCTTCAGTTTTTCATATTCTAGCCAACACTTGCTAATGCTGTTTTTTGTTTGTTTGTTTTTTTAATTTTTTAGGTACGGGGTATTGAAGTCGGGCCCTTGCACTTGCCAGGCAGGCAGTGAAACCATTGAGCTAAATACCAGCCCTAATGCTGTTTTTAATTACAGCCAACACCCACATTATCAAGATGAAAACAATAAAGGGCTGGAGATTTAGCTCAGTGGTACCGCTGCCTGCCTCGAAAGCACATGGGCCCAAGTTCGAGCCTCGATACCAAAAAAAAGAAAAAGAAAAAACAAAACAAAACAGATGAAAACAACAAAACAAGATGAAAAGTCAAATACAGTTTAAATTCATCTACAGAACTACCACTCTAATTCTTAGGTTTTTAAACTCAAGGCAGTCAAAAATATACCTGTTTTCAAAACAAGATTTTAAAAAATTAATGGAATTAAATTGCACGGTTCTACTTCAAAACTGCAGCTACAAAACTGGGATATAGGAAAGGAGTCCTTGGGGGGCTATTTGGTGTTAACCTGAACTCTTTCCCCATCTGTGGAACTTGCTTGCATTCTTTCAAACATGTTTATAACTTCACACCTGGTAAAAGTCCTTTTCCTCTTGCAACATCCAGCTCAAAAGTCATGCCCTCTCTAGAGAAGCCTTTCTGGGTTTTCTTCTTCTGCAACAGTTTAAAAGGGCCACAGAATCACTTTCTTACTCTTTAATTACGTGTCTGCTCATCTCACCCCTTGCGTTCAGCAAGGGCAGGAAAAGTCGCAGTCACTCCTTTCTTTCTCCAGAACTCGGCCCAGTAGGCACAACAAAAAATATATGTATGGTGAAAAAAGTGGGTATAAACAACAGCCAAAATACGGCAGTCAATACAATTATTAGAGGCAGTTCTTCGCCAGAGGCCCGCTTTTCGCCAGCTACCACTCACACCCGCCCCGCCCTCCGGCCACTCCAGCGTCCCCTCAGAGCTCACCCTCCAGGGTCTCCTCTGGATCCGCAGTCACCCGGCCCTTAGCTTCACGCTGTACCAGGGGTTCGAAGAATTTGGCTACCAGCTCCTTCATCTGGCCCACACCCGACAACAGCTTCTGAAGAGGGTCGGCGTCACCAGACGCTTCACAGACGACCCGCAGCTGGCGCCGCTCCCCGTCGGACCCGACGTACTCTCCAACCAGCTCCATAGCGACCGTTTAGCTTCAAGCGCGCGCCACAGTGAAGCCTTCCCCGGAAACGGAAGCCAGCTCGTCGCTGGGGCACGAGAAAGGAGAGGAGTGACTTCCGGTGGCCGGAAGTCGCTCCTCCCCCAGCCTCCGTTTTCCCTCTTTATGATTGGTTCTTGGTTCTCAGGCCCCGCCTCCTTTGCTACGCCCCTCATGGTCGCTTTTCCCGCCTCCGCCGGGGCAGAGCTGTGGTCTTGGTGACAGTTGAGAATGGCTGGAGCTGAGGGGCACGCTGGGCGGCAGTCGGAGCTGGAGCCCGTGGTGTCGTTGGTCGACGTACTTGAAGAAGACGAAGAGCTGGAGAATGAGGCGTGCGCAGTCCTGGGCGGCAGCGATTCGGAGAAGTGCTCCTACTCGCAGGTGGGCTCGTGGCCCGGGCCTCGTCTGCTTTGGCTCTCCCTGAACCTCAGGAGCCTTCCCGGCCTCGGTTCCCTATTCCGCCCTCAGCCCTGGCCTCCCTCTGGTCCCTCCCGGTCCGCCGTTGGCCTGCGCTCCCGCCCCAGGCCCGGCTGCCTTTCCCTTCTTAGTCGCCCCGGCCCAATTCCTCCGCTGTGTCCAGCAGGGGCCTCCCTCCACCTGTCTTGGATGGCTGGGATTGTCCAGGCTTTGGCCCTGGAGCTGCTGGCCTGGCTTTCCTCTCCGATCTCTTCTTGGAGTCCCGAATGCTGTGCACGAAACCATATCCTTGACCTCTCGAATCCAGACATTTTTGTGCCTGTTTTTCTTATCCTAAGAGTGTTTATCAGGGATCGAACGGGAGGTCAAAGTAGAGATAAAAAGCTTTGGATCTGAAAATCTCCCTGTATGCAGTGGGCTTCTTAACAGCTCTGCAGTACAGGCTCAGTGCTCACTAGTACTCTTTTTTAAAGAAACAAAGCAAGTATCCTGTTTGCAGTCTGGCTCCTCTTCCCCCAGAAATAGACCAGAACAAGTGACCATAGCCAGAGATAAGGATTTGTTTGGCATTTGGAATACTTCGTGAATAAGGGTTTGAGGGGGTGTGTTGTGTTTTGTGACTCATGTCATATTTCAGGATACAAAAACGGAGAAGAGTGGGTAGGAAGAAAACACGTTAAAAATTGGTAGAAGGAAGAAGGTTGCCTTGGGCAGGGCTCAAACGGAACATTGAAGAAGGAGAGGAAGTACTTGAATTCAAACATAGTTTTGTTTTTTATTTTATTTTGCGGTACTGGGGCTTGAACCCAAAGCCCCATGCATGCTAGGCAAGTGCTCTACTGAGCTACATCCTCCAGCCCTGATGTCAGAATTTAACCCGTTGCCTTCACTAACCAAGTTGAATTTACACTGTGAAGTGTTAGATTCTTGACTAAACCTGGTGTCCAGAGACAGACCAAGATGTTGGCTGATATTCAGAACCTCGGATTACTACTAAAACAACCATTTCCTTCGTTAAAAAAAAAAAAGAGATCCTAAGTCTTAATGTTTTGAAAGTCTATCAAATGAACTTCCTTAAAATTGTCTTACTATAGTAAAACATTCAGAGATTTACATAGGTCACATGTATATGTTGAAAACAAAGTGAACACATGCATGTACCCACCACCCAGATCAAGAAATAATAGAATAGCTGGGCATGGTGGCGCACACCTGTAATCCCAGCACTCAGGAGGCTGAGGCAGGAGGATCACTGTGAGTTGGAGACCAGCCTGGGCTACATAGTGAGTTCCAGGTGAGTCTCAACTACATAGTGAGACCCTGTCTCAAAAAAACAAACAAACAAACCAAAAAACAAAAAAAGAAATAATAGAATAATACTGAATCCTGCCTTTATGGAGAAGGGTAACTTAGAGGAGCATAACTTTTTTTGTTTGTTTGTTTTGTTTTGTTTTGTTCTGGAGATTGAACTTGGATCCTTTTGTGCTTGCAAGACAGGCAGCAGAACCACGGGGCTAGATCTCCGGCCCATCTCTGATAAGTACTTTTTTTTTTTTTAATTGTGCCTGTTTTTCTTTCAGATTTAAATTTTGAAACATCTTAAATCTACAGTTAAGTAGAAAAATAGTGTTATGAGCACCTATGTACCTCTTAGTGTATATTCATTTTTAAATATTTTGTCACATTTGTTCTATCTCTCCTTTATATAACACACTGCCTTTTTTTTTTTTTTAACTGCTTAAAAGTACGTTGCAGGCTGGCGATTTAGCTCACTGACAGGTCCTGAGTTCAATCTCCCATACTGAAAAAAAAAAAAAAGTTAAGTCGCAGACATCATGATATACTACATTTCTGAATACTTAAGCATTTTGTACATAGGGAGAGGAGGGGGTCCTGAGGGGGAATGGGATAAAATTTTTAAAATTTATTAAAATAAATACTTCAGCATGTATCTCCTAAAAATCAGAGGGATTCTTTTCATGCATTGATTTTAGGGGGGGTGCATTTATAAGCATTTTCCAAAATTAAAATGTGATATTACTAACATAAACCTATACACATTGACCTACATATGTTAAAACGATTAAGCAGACCAACTCATTCATAGCTGATTGACAAATTTAAACTTTCTGTCACTTTAAAGAAAAATTGTATGAAAATAAACATCAGTATAGAAATGAAATATGCAACAATATTTTGGTACTCAACATTTTAAATACCATTTTTACAGGAAGATCTTGATCACAGATAATTTGATTTTATTTATTTCTCAAATCTTAGTGTTGGTATTTAGGTAACTATGCCACTTCATTAACTTACTTTCTTCTGTTTTGGGCTGTCTTTAGGGATCAGTAAAGAGACAAGCACTGTATGCCTGTAGTACCTGCACTCCAGAGGGAGAAGAACCAGCGGGAATTTGTCTGGCCTGCAGTTATGAATGTCACGGAAGCCATAAATTATTTGAACTCTACACAAAAAGGTATTGAGATAGCTGTTGTATGTTTTCTAAATGTTTAGCTTCTTTCCCAACTACAGTTCTTCTCAATCTTGTTTTTCAAAGTAGTTGTGTACTGCTGGGGATTTAGCTCAGTGGTTCTGCCTCCTGCCTCGCAAGTGCAAGGACCTGAGCTTGATCCCTGGAACCAAAAGAAAAACTACAAAGTAGTTGTGCACTAGTGAGATTTAATATAATCGGAAAGAATGATTTTTCTATGTTACAGTAAAATTATAGTACAAACACAAACTACTTATCCCATTTTGTGTGAGAGTAATATAGATACTTATTTTGTTTTTAAAGACAGGGTCTTGCTTTCTTGCCAAGGTTGGCCCTGAACTCCTGGTCTCAAGCATTTTTAACCTCAGCTTCCCTAGTAGCTAGGACTACAGGTTAGCACTCTATATATAATATATATATTTTTTTTTTTTTTTTTTTTTTTTTTTTTTTTTTTTTTTTTGTTTTTTTTTTTTTTCAATTTATTTAGTTTTTGGTACCAGGGATTGAACTTGGGTCCTTCTGCTTGTGAGGCAGGTACCAGAACCACTGAGCTAAGTCCCCGGCCCCCCCTTTTTTTTTAATGGTACTGGGGATCAAACTTGGGTCCTTGTGCTTGTGAGGCAGTAGGGGGAACCACTGAACTAAATCCCCAGCCCACCAGGTTAGCACTATTGATACATATTTATTTTGCATATTACTTTTCAGAATTATAAAATATTTCATAGTTATATGCTTGGGGAAGTTCCACATCAAATACATGAACAGCAGTCAAAGCCATGTTTTGGTTCTTAGAAATAAGTCAGAAGAGAAAAGGGTATGATTTGAATTTAAAGAGTACTTACTTCATTAGATTTTTAAAAAATTAAAATTGGCTTTTCCTCTTTATTTCAGAAATTTTCGTTGTGACTGTGGAAACAGCAAGTTTAAAAATTTGGAATGCAAATTATTTCCTGTAAGTAAATATAACAACAAATGCATTTTAAAGAACAAAGGTTGAAATTTACCAGAGTGGGTAAAAACCAACTATTTTCCAAGAAGAAGGTACTTTTGCTTATTCTTGGAAGATGCGTATTTCATTTCTTTCTTCGTTGGAAAAACAAGATAATGTTGAGAGCTTCTGATATTGATTGCCATTAATACGAAAGGTTTTGTGGGGAAACCTTTAAAGCGATTCAGGTTTATTTATATTAGTTATGCTTATGTTCTGAGGCTTTTAAAGCAAAGGTTATAAGTTTTAAAACTGTGTAAGTAAAACTTGGCAATAATGTGCACTAGATACAGATTGGACTTTTCACTGTATTTTGGCTAATAAAAACTCTGGTTAGGGGCCAGGGATTTAGCTCAGTGGTCCGCTGCCTGCCTCGCAAGCTCAAGGACCCAAGTTCAATCCCGGTACCAAAAACAAAAAACAAAAGACTATGGTTAGCTGGGGATTTAGCTCATTGCTGCTGCTGACTGCCTCACAAGTGCAAGGACCTGAGTTTGATCCCCATTATAAACAAACAAAAACTATGATTGGTTATATGGTAACTTTTAGTGAAATAGTAGATAAAAGAGAAAGTAAGGAATGTCACATTTCAGTCATAATTGCTAGAACTGTCACATCTTTCCCCTCCTTTGAAGATTAATTAATTAATTAATTAATTTATTTTGAAGGTTAATTTTATTTTATTATTTTTTTATTTAAATTGAATTTATTGGTACATTCTAGGTAGACAGTACAGTTACATTCATTACTGTGATCTTGTACCTTTACATGTCAGGTCTTGATTCTCATTTTCTTCCCCTTGTCCCTGCCCTCCCTTCACCCCCTCCTCCCCTCCCCACCTTCAAACACTTTAATTCCATTTTTATATTTTCTCATATTTTTTTCCTTTCCCTTATTCCCCTTTCCCTATCCTTCTCACTGTCCCTACACCTTTGGTCCTTTTCTTCCTATTTCATGTTGCTAATTGTCCCATTAGGATCTTGAGTACTATTTTAGTTTTTCACACCAGAGAAATTATTCGGTATTTGCATATGTTTGACTTATTTATTTCACTTAGGAGTATATCCTCAAAATGTACCCATTTACCTATGAATGAATCTACTTCCTCATTCTTTATGGCTGAGTAGTATTCCATTTTATAGAAATACCACATCTTCTTTATCCAGTTTCCAACTGATGGGCAGATGGGCTGTTTCCAAGTTTTAGCTATTACAAACTGTGCCGCTATAAACCTGGGTGCGCATATATCACTGTGGTATGATTCTTTTAGTTCTTTTGGAAAGATACCCAACAGAGGGACAGCTGGGTCAAATGGAACCTCTAATCCTAGTTCTTTGAGGTATCTCCATATTGACTTCTATAGTGGTTGCATTAGTCTGCACTCCCACCAACAATGGAGAAGGGTTCCTTTCTCCCCACAGCCCCACCAACATTTGTTATTGTGTGATTTGTTGATAGCAGCCATTCTTTGTGGGGTGAATTGAAATCTCAGTGTTGTTTTCATCTGCATCTCTCGAATGACCAATGATGTGGAACATTTTTTCATATATTTACTTGCTGCTTTTATTTCTTTGAGAAATGTCTGTTCATTTCAGATGCCATTTTTGAATTGGGTCTTTATTTTTTGGGGGGCTGGTTGTTTGGGTTCTTTATATATTCTAGATAATAGACCTTTGTCTGAGGAGCAGCTGGTAAAAAGTTTTTCCCCATTGTAGGTTGTCTGTTAGTTCTGTTGATGGTTTCTTTTGCAGTGCAGAAGCTTTTTTATTTTTTTTAAAACAGGAGAATGTTTAATATGTTCCAAAAACACAAAAGGAAGAAGCTTTTTAATAAGATGAGATCCCAGTTGTTGATTCTTTTTGCTATTTCGTGTGCTACTGAAGATTTGTTCATAAAGTCTTTTCCTATGCCAATGTCTTCCAGAGTTCTGCCTAACTTATCTTCCAGCAAGTTTAGTTTTTGTTTTTATATTTAGATCTTTAATCCACTTGGATTTTAATTTAGTGCATGGTGACAGATAAGGGTCTAGTTTTAATGTTTTGCAGGTTGAGATCCAGTTTTTCCAACACCGTTTATGAAAGAGGCTATCTTTCCTCCAGTGGGGACTGTCAGCTCCTTTGTCAAAGATGAGGTAGCTGAGTGCATCTGGAGTTGTTTTTGTGTCTTCCAATCTGTTCCACTGATCCTCAGTTCTGTTTGTTTGCCAGTACCATGCTGTTTTTATCACAGTGGCTTTATAGTATAGTTTCAAATTGGGAATTGTTATACCCGCTGCCATGTGTCTGTTGCCTAGGATGGCTTTTGCTATTCTAGGCCTCTTATGGTTCCAAATGAATTTTTGGATTATTCTTTCTAGTTCTGTGAAGTATAGTGTTAGGATTTCAAGTGGTATTGCCTTGAATCTGTATAGCAGTTTTGGTAGTATGGCCATTTTCACTATGTTGATTCTGCCTACCCAGGAGCAGGGGACATCTTTCCATTTTCTTATATCCTCCTCGATCTCTTTTTTCAGAGTGCTATAGTTTTCAGTGTAGAGGTCTTTTGCTTCTTTTAATAGATTTATTCCCAGATACTTCATTTTTTGGGGTGCTATTGTGAAAGGAATTGTTTCCCTAATTTCTCATTCAGTGAGTCTGTTACTTGTGTACAATAAGGCTATTAATTTTTGGGTGTTGACCTTGTATCCAGCTACTCTGCTAAAAGTGTCTATTAAGTTGAGAAGTCTTTTGGTGGAGTTTTTTGGGTCTTCAATGTAGAGTATCATATCATCAGCAAATACTGACAGTTTAATTTCTTCTTTTCCTATCTTTATTGCTTTAATTTCTTTCTCTTGTCTATTAGCTATGGCTAATGTTTCCAGAACTGTATTGAAGAGGAGTGGTGATAGTGGGCATCCTTGTCTTGTTCCTGATTTTAACATGAAGATTTTCAGTTTTTGGCCATTTAATATGATGTTTTCTGTTGGTTTTTCATAGATAGCCTTTATTAAGTTGAGATATAGACCATCTATTCCAATTTTTTGCAGAGTTTTTGTCATGAATGGGTGTTGAATTTTGTCAAATGCTTTTCTGCATCTATCAAGAGGATCATGTGGTTCTTGTTCTTGACTTTGTTAATATAGTGTATTACATTTATTGATTTACGTATGTTGAACCGTCCTTGCATCCCTGGAATAAGCCCAACTTGGTCAGGATGTATGATCTTCTTGATGATTTTCTGTATTCTGTTTGCTAATATCTTATTGAGGGTTTTTGCATCTATATTCATTAAGGAGATTGGCCTGTAGTTCTCATTTTTAGTTATGTCTTTCCCAGGTTTGGGAATCAAAGAGGTATTTGCTTCCAGGAATGAATTTGGAAATATTGCTTCCCTTTCAATTTTGTTGAAAAGTCTGAAGAGTAATGGCAGTAGATCTATAAATGTCTTGTAAAATTCAGCAGTGAATCCATCAGGACCTGGGTTTTTCTTTGTTGGTAAGTTTTTAATTACATTTTCAATTTCACTGATTGTGATTGGGGTGTTTAAAATGTTTTTATCTTCTTCGTTCAACTTTGGTAATTCATAAGTATCTAGAAATCTGTCCATTTCTTCTGTGTTTTCCATTTTATTAGAATACAGGTTCTCATAGTATGTATTAATGATCCTCTGGATATCTTTGGGATCTGTTGTGACTTCGCCTTTTTCATTCCTGATTGCATGAATCTGAGCCTTTTCTTTCCTTTTTTTGATAAGGTTTGCTAAGGGTTTATCAATTTTATTTAGTCTTTCAAAAAACCAACTCTTTGATTCATTTATTTTTTGTATCATTTTCTTAGTTTCCATTGCATTGATTTCTGCTCTAATCTTTATAATTTCCTCTCTTGTTCCAGCTTTGGGTTTTTCTTGCTCCTGTTTTTCTAGGAGTCTAAGATTCATCATTAGGTTGTTTATTTGATCTTGCTCTGTTTTCCTAGTGTGGGCATTCAGTACTATGAATTTTCCACATAGAACTGCTTTCATCGTGTCCCATAGATTCCTGTATGTTGTATTGGCATTTTTGTTTATTTGTAAAAACTGTCTGATTTCTTGTTTGATTTCCTCTGTGATCCATTGATTGTTCAGGAGAGTGTTGTTCAATTTCCATGTGTTTGTGAAGTTCCTATAGTTTCTTGATCTCCAGCTTTATTGCACTGTGATCTGATAATATACAGGGAATAACTTCAATTCTTTTGCATTTATTCAAACCTGTTTTGTGAACTAGTATGTGATCTGTCTTGGAGAATGACCCATGTACAGCTGAAAAGAATGTATATTCTGATTTTGTGGGGTGGAACACTCTATAGACATCTAATAAGTCCATGCGTTCCAAAACTTGGTTCAGTTCTAGTATTTCATTGTTGATTTTTTGCCTAGAAGATCTGTCTATTTGTGATAGTGGGGTATTTAGATCCCCCGCTACCATTGTATTGTGATTATTTGGTTTTTCATGTTACTTAATATTTGTTTTATATAGTTGGGGGCATTTATATTTGGTGCATATATGTTTATGATTGTCATTTCTTCCTCTTGGATTGTTCCCTTTACTAGGAAGTAGTGTCCTTCTTTGTCTCTCTTAATCAGTTTTGGTTTGAAATTTGCTTTGTCTGCAAATAAGATTGCTACCCCTGTTTTTTTCTGGACTCCTGTCACATGGAGAACTGTTTTCTATCTTTGCACTTTCAGTCTATGGGCTTCTTTTTGCACTAGGTGTGTTTCTTGTATACAACATATTGTTGGATTTTGCTTCTTAATCCATTCTGCCAATCTATTTCTCTTGATTGGTGAATTGAGGCCATTGACATTGATAGTTATAACTGATATGTACTGACTTATTATTGTCATTTTGTTGACTCTTTATTTTCTGTCCTCTTTTAGTTTCTTGCCTTGGCTATTTGATTTGCTGTGTTGGGCCTCCTGGTGTTGTGATCTTCATTGTGTTTTTGTAGGATATTGTTTAAAATTCTTAGTAGTGCTGGTTTAGTATTCATGAAGTTTCTCAAGTGTTCTTTGTCATGGAAGTATCTTATTTCTCCATCCATTTTGAAAGAGAGTTTTGCAGGATACATAGGTCTTGTTTGTAGGTTATTTTCTTTTAGGACTTGAAATACCTCACTCCAGGCTCTCCTTGGACTGAGGGTTTGTGTTGAAAAGTCTGCTGTGATTCTGATGGGCTTTCCTTTGCATGTGATTTGTTTTTCTCTTACTGCTTGTAGTATTTTGTTCTTCTGTTGGGTTTCTGGGATCTTGATTATATTATATGTCTAGGTGTAGATTTTTTTTGATCGTGGCTAGTTGGTGTCCTATATGCCTCGCTTATCTGTATGTCTAATTCTTCCCCTCTGTTTGGGAACTTTTCTGTCATTAATTCTTTGAACAGCTTTTTTAAGCCATTTGCATTTTCTCCTGGTACTTCATGGGTTCCTATCAGTCTTATGTTATTCTTCTTTGCATTATCTAGGAGTTGTTGTATCGATTTCTCATGCTTCCTTACTGTTTTTAAGAGACCTCTCTTTTTATGGTCACTGTCTGTGATCCTATCTTCTATATCTGAAATTCTATCTTCACAATCTTTTATTCTGTTGTGTAAGCTTTCAGTAGAGTTTTTAATGTCTTGGATATCTGTTTGAATCTGTTTAATGGATTCCATTTCTTTTTTATGTTGGGTGTTCATTGTTTGTATTCCTTTCTTATTGTGGGCCTTGAAGGTTAATTTTAGAAAATTTCTTTGGCATTCCTTTTTGCCCGTTCATTATGTGAAGGTCTTGGCTCTCAGAGCTATGCGCAAAGATGTACTGTACCTTGAAATTCCAGGCCATTATCAGTTCACTTCACATAAATTGGTAACTAGTATTTATGATTAACTTCTCCCTTTTTTTTAAACTTCTCTCTCTTTTTAAATTGAATTACTGTAAAGCCGGGCATGGTGGCACATGCCTGTAATCCCAGCACTTTGGGAGGCTGAGGCAGGAGGATTGCTGCGAGTTTAAAACCAGCCTGGGGTACACAGTGAGTTCCAGAGCAGTCTGAACTACATAGTGAGACCCTGTCTTAAAAAAAAAAAAATAATAATAATAATAATAATTGAATTACTGTCTTCAGTTTCCTCCCATTGCTACAAATAAGATAAAGGAAATTTTATTTTTTCCCTGTACCTTGGAAAAAGTATCTGTTAATAGGAATGAATGTTTTTTTGTTTTTGTTTTTGTTTTTGGTAGCGGGGACTGAACGCGGGTCCTTGTGCTTGCAAGGCAGGTGGCAAAACCACTGAGCTAAATCCCTGGCCCTAGGAGTGAATGTTTTCTTCAGTTTTTAAATGTTAGAAATTAGCTTCTAGGGAGAAGATATTTAATGCAGATATTTATTAAATATTTTATGATGCATGAAATTACATTTAACATTGGGCTATGGTATATACTGAAATTTATCTTTCAGGACAAAGCAAAGGTAAATTCTGGAAATAAGTATAATGACAACTTTTTTGGATTGTACTGCATTTGCAAGAGACCTTATCCTGATCCTGAAGATGAGGTAAGAGAATTGGAAGGTAAAACCTGGGACTGTGTCATCTTTAACCTTGAACTTATAGCCTCTGGGTGTCTGGAGCTTTGTAGGAGGAATTTCAAGATGCTCATTTACCCTTGCTTATAAATCTGAATTGGATCTGTCAGTTGTGCGGATCTCAACTATTCTTTTTCTTACATCATAAGAATGAAATATTGCTAGGCCAGGGATTTAGCTCAGTGGTTCTATTAAAAAAAAAAAAAAAAAAAAAAAAAAAAAAAAAGAAAAGAAATATTGCAGACGACTTTCCCAAGGCCAGAACTACTTCTCTTTCTGTCGTTCCTGCTTCCTGCCCTGTCCCCAAATACTTCGTAAAAAATGACCTTCAAGGGCCAGGTGTTTAGCTCAGTGGTTCTGTTCTGCTGCCTGCCTGGCAAGTACAAGGTCCTGAGTTCAATCCCCAGTACCAAAAAAAAAAAAGACCTTCAAATTCTCTCCTCCCTGAAAGACTTGTGTACAAACTAGATCCTCTTAAAAAATTTAAAGTATACTCAAAATTTTAAAAGATTTTCCCTTACTCTTGAGCTTTTTTTTGGCGGGGGGGGGGGACAGGGTCTTGCTATGTAGTTAGGCCCGGCCTTGGCCTTGAACTTGCTATGTAGCCCAGGCTGGCCTTGAACTCAGCAGTCCTCCTGGCTCAGCCTCCTGAGTGTTTGGATTACACGCATGTGCCACCATACCTTGCTCTCCCACCACACCTGGCTCTCTGTGCTTAACCTTCCAGCCACAGTCACTGTTAACACTTTTTTTTTTAATGTTTTCAGGCCTTTCTGTGTCCACCTAATAATATTTGAATGAGTTTCAATGTGTATTTTCTTTTAATAAATTGAAAATTCTGTACATTTACTTCTGCAGCTGGCTTTTCTCACTTCTTAATATATTGTAAACATCCTTCCTTTTTTTTGTTGTTTTTTGAGACAGGGTCTCACTATGTAGTTGAGACTGACCTGGAACTCACTGTGTAGCCCAGGCTGGTCTCGAACTTACAGTGATGTTCCTGCCTCTCAGCCTCCTGAGCGAGTGCTGGGACTACAGGTGTGCACCACCACGCCCAGCTTCAGCCCATCTTTTGATTGGGTAGAGTTTTACCCATGTACTGATTTGAAAGAGTGCTGTTTGTATCTAGCAAAAGTAGCTCTGTGCATCCTTTCTTTTTTTTTTTGGGTACTAGGAGTTGAACTCAGGGCCTTATTATTGCTAGGCAAGTGCTGTGCCACAGAGCTATATCCCCAGTCCCCTGCCTCCTTTCTTGCTTGTTATTAGTGTTGGAATTGTAATTATATAGAATTATATAGAACCAAATTATATAGAGAACAAAATTGAAAATATGTTTGAGTTAATAAAAATAAACTTTAAAACTGGATATATTAAGGCATTGGCTAACTTGTAACACTGTTGAATAAAGACAAAAGCAGATGATTAATTCATTGATGGGCAGAAAGAAAAGAGTAAAACTACTTTGTAGTGTGTGTGTGTGTGTGTGTGTGTGTGTGTGTGTGTGTCTGCTTTGTTTACTTAAACTACCATGATAAAAGAACAGAACACTTTAGGAGATAATTAGTAGATATGAAAGACTGGGAATAAAAGAAAAATCATCCCTAAAATAGTTTATGTCCTTGATTCATAATTTTCAAGGTGTAGACATTTCATTATTTTATTTGTTCAAACAGAGAAGCCTAAGGCCGGGATTTAGCTCAGTGGTGTTGCTGCCTGTCCTGCAAGCACAGGGTCCTGAATTTGATCCCTGGTACCGCAAATAGAGAAGTCTACATTATCAACAGATTATTGGTAACATTTACTTTTCAGTTTTACCTGACAGGATGTTATGATTAAAAGGTCCCAGCTGTCACATTCTTTTTCTTTTCTTTTTTTTTTTAAGCTTGCAAACAAATTTATTTGGATGGCGCTTTGATAGGTTTGCATATGGGGGAAGTCCCTCAGAGCACAGTGTCACATCTGTGTTGGTCAATTCACATTTCTTCCCTGGGTTTGGGCTTCTGTATAAAGTGGGAATGCCGGACTAAAGTTTTTTTTGTTTTGTTTTTTTTCTGGTACTGGGGATCAAACTTGGAACCTTGTGTTTGCGAGGCAGGTGGCGAAACTACTGAGCTAAATCCTCAGCCCAGACTAAAATTTTATGAGAGATAAAGTGACTGGTACAAAAGAGCTTTGATAATTGTGTATTAAGTTCTTATCCCAGTATAATAAATATATAAATATACAGAATGCATTTATTTGTCCCCTTAACTACTATTATGTAAATAGAGTTATCACAGAGTTGGCAGAGAAGTTTTTTGTTTTTCATTTTGTGGTTCTGGGGACCAAACCCTGGACCTCACATATACTCAGTAAGGCTTCTACCACTGAGCTATACCCTCAGCCTCAAGAATTATTTAATATCTAATTCTACTTCATGCCAGTTTACTTCCGTGTCCCAGGATTCAATCATTATTAACTAACAACTTTTTCTATGTTAGGTTCCAGATGAGATGATCCAGTGTGTAGTCTGTGAAGACTGGTTCCATGGAAGAGTAAGGAAAACTTCTACCTTTTAAAACCATTGTATCCACAAAAATATAGATGATCTTTTCCTTTTTTTGGTTTTTTGAAACAGGGTCTCACTATACTATGTAGTCCAGGCTGGTCTCGAACTCACAGCGATTCTTCTCCTGAGTACTGGGATTACAGGCGTGCGCCACCATGCCTGGCTGATCTTTTCCTTTTGAATTGTCTAATTTCACATTATAATTACTTTTCTTAAAAAAAAAAAAAAAAACCTATAGGGGGCTGGGGACTTAGCTCAGTGCTGCCGCTGCCTGCCTCACAAGTGCAAGGACCCAAGTTTGATACCTGGTACAAAAAAAAAACAAACCTATACAGAGGGGATAAGAAAAGAATTAAGATATATACATGTATTAACTCTACATGGTAAATTTTGTACTGCAAAAAACTATAAAGTTATGATCAGTGTACTGTTACAGTATTTGTTTATAAAACAACAGGCATTATGGGCATTTTTAAAATTCCATTTGAAATTGATTTCAGTAAAACTACATAATATATAATTTATTTGAAACTCTAGACACAAAATTAGGCCGGGGATTGCCACCTTCCTCACAAGTGCAAGGACCCAAGTTTGATCCCTGGTACCAAAAAAAAAAAAAAAAAAAAAACAAAATTCATGTGTGACAAAATTCATCAATTCATCAGATTGGTGGTTGGTGGAGACTGACTGCTAAAGGGCAGGAGGGAACTCAGAAAGATGAAAATGTTATGTATCTTGGTGGTGATAGTGGTTGGTGGTAACATGGATGTATACCTTTATTAAACTCAAAGTTGAAAATGTTCACATCCTGTGATCGAACCAGCTCACTTTTAGATGTAGTGCACTGTATATCAAACTGCTGTTGGAGACCCACTTTTAGTGAAGATTCAAATCTGTTCAGGGTGCCTTATCCGGGGAGTATTCATCTTGAAAGTAAGGAGGCTCTATCTTGAGGTCCCTTCATTTTTCAAGGATTGGATAATAATTAACTATGGGCATGTTAGACAGCTTAGAGATCACCAGAAAGAAAAAAACAACAGCTTTGTTTTTAATTTACAGCATCTTGGCACCATTCCCCCTGAGAGTGGGGACTTCCAGGAAATGGTGTGCCAGGCTTGTATGAAACGCTGCACCTTCTTGTGGGCTTATGCTGCTCAGCTGGCAGGTAGGTGCCTTTGTGAAGTTGGTGTGACACAGACTTGTGTTTGTTAAATTTGTATTTTCAGTTCAGAATTTTTAGCAACTATTTTGGACTCTGAGGTATACAAGATAATGTTTATAGATTGTTTGGAAGACCACTTAGGTCAGATTTGAACTTAAATGGTGTGGTGTAGAGTATGGATGAGACTAGAAGTAGAGAAAATGGAAGAAACAGGTTTGGTTTTGTTTTTTGCAGTCTTAGGGATAGGACCAAGGGCTTCTTGCTGAGTTATACACTCATAACCCTTTTCATTTATTCATTTATTTATTTCTCATTGAGTTTATTGGTACATTTTAGGTATACAGTACAGTTACATTCATCATTAGGATCTTATACCTTTACATGACAGGTCTTGCTTCTCATTTTTTCCCCTTGTCCCTGCCCTCTCTTCACCCCTTTTTCTCTTCCCTATTTACAAATACTTTATTTCCATTTTTTCATTTTCTCGTTTTTTTTCTTTTCCCTTATTAGCTTTCCCCTACTCTTCCCACCTCCCCTACACCTTTAGCCCTTTTCTTCCTATTTCACATTGTCAATTATATCATTAGGATTTTTTTATTTTGAGACAGTCTCTCACTAAGTTGACCAGGCTGGCCTCAAACTTGCAGTCCTGCTGGGCCGGGGATTTAGCTCAGTAGCACTGCGCCTGCCTCTCAAGCTCAAGGTTCTTAGTTCCATCCCAGTACCAGAAAATAAAATAAACAAACACTACAGGGTGTCATGGCACATGCCTCTGATACCAGCAGTGGCAGGCTGAGACCTGGAGTACTGCAAGTTTAAACCCAGCCTGTTAGCAAGACTCTGTCTCAAAACAAACCCAGCCTGTTAGCAAGACTCTGTCTCAAAACATAAATGGTGGCACACACCTGTAATCCCAGCACTTGGGAGGCTGAGGCAGGAGGATTGCTGTGAGTTCGAGACCAGTCTGAGCTACACAGTGAGTTCCAGAGCAGTCTGAACTACATAGTGAGACCCTGTCTCAAAAAACCAAAAATAAACAAACAAAAAAACAGTAAATGAATAGAGCCGGGGATGTAGCTCAGAGGCACAAAACCTGCCTGGCAAGCACAAGGTCCTGAGTTCTATCCCTGGTACAAAGGGGGGAAAAAAAAAAAGAAAGAAAAGAAGGAAAGGTCTGGAAATGTAGCTCATTCTGAAGGCCTTGAGTTTAATCCCCAGTATAAAGAAAAAATTAATTTAGATCAAAGCAGATGGCAGATGGTGATAACAGTTTATTATTTAGTACTGTACTTTTATCATACACTAAGAAATTGACTCAAAACAACTAATCCACGGTAAATAGTATTGAGGCATTAAATATCTTTTTGGTAATGCCAAATATGTTACTTTCTTTTTTTTTGGTACCGGAGATCGAACTCGGGTCCTTGCACTTGCGAGGCAGGTGGCGGCTCTACTGAGCTAGATCCCCGGCCCCTCCTTAATTTATTTTTAAGGTAGCAGTTACTCATAATCTTTGGGGCTCTGGCCTCTTAATTTCTTCTCACCTTTGGGAACATTTTCACCGTACAAACCACAAATAGGATAGGTATTACACCAAAGATTATCATCCAGTCCTTTTTTTTCCTTTCATGGTATTGGAGATTATACCTCATACTGAGCTACATCCCGAGACTTTTTAAAATATTTTATTTGGAGAAGGGTCTAAGTTGCTAAATTGTCTGGGCTGGGCTTGAACTCAAGATCCTCCTGCCTCAACTCCCCAAAGTGCTGGGATTATAGGCATGCACCATCATAGCAAATTTCATCCTGTACTGTTTTTTGAGATAGGATCTTGCTTTGTAGTTCAGGCTGGCTCTGAACTCACTATGTAGCCCAGGGTGGCCTTAAACTCACAGTGATCCTTCTGCCTTAGCCTCGGGAGTGCTGGGATTACAGGCGTGTACCACCACACCCAGCAATCCTACATTTTTGATTTGCCTCAATTTTCTTAAACTTGATGCTCCTTCCCATTTACATCTTTTCTTTTTACGGATATTATACCTGTGTGTGTTTCTCATTCACTGAGTTTCTTAATTGATCTTCCTCTTCTTCCTTCATTTCCTTGCAGATGGCTTCATCTGCTATTAAAATGCCATCAACCAACCTGAGCCCCCTTACCATTTCTCTTCTCGCCTTTATGTTTTTTCTGCTTTGACACCCATCCTTTTGATTTCCTCTTCCCAGGAAAAAAAAAGCTGATGGTTCTTCAAAACTACCCTTCTACTTATGTTTGCAGTTAAATCTCTTCCTCCTGCCTTTTGTTTCTTGAGGATCCCATCTCTCTTTAACACCTCTAGAATATTCTTTTCTCCTTTATATATAAAGTACTTAGTGATTGCTATTTTCAAATGAATTGTTTCACTGTTTGATATTTCCTTTCTAGAATGTAAAGTTGTCTTTTTTTCTTTTCTACATTCTGAAATATTTTAAAATCAGGATAAGTTATTTCATTGTCTGATTGGTCTGTGGATAAGTGTGTGTGTCTTCAATACTACTATTATTTCTTCTCATTGAATCACAGTGACCAAAATATCTGCTGAGGATGATGGATTAGTGCTGAATGTTGATGGAATAGATGATCAGGAAGTTGTCCAGACTGAAAATGGAGACCAAGATAATACCCTCAAAGAGGATGTTCCAGAACATGCAGAGGATCCTGACAAGGACGTTAAAGCAGAGCAGAATAATGAGCCATGTAGCAGCTCTAGTTCTAAATCTGATCTCCAGGTAACAGATGGAGGACAAGCCGTAAAAGACATAAAACGTAGACAACATTAATTCTATAAATTCTGCAGCTTTGGATTTCTTTCATATTCTTTGTCACAGGAAATCCTTTTAGGGCTGGGGATTTCGCTCAGAGGTGCTTAGCCTGTCTTGCAAGCACAAGGCCCTGAACTTGATTCCCGGTACCAAAAAAAGAAAGGAAATCCCTTTAGCTGTTCATGGTGGCACACATCTGGGAGGCTGAGACAGGAGAATCATGTGCTCAAGCCTACCCTGGGCAATTTAGTGATTTAGGGCTCCCCATCTCAAAAAACAAAACAAAACAAAACAAAAGACATGGGGTCGGGATTTAGCTCAGTGCTGCTGTGCCTGCCTCGTAAGTGCAAAGTCCTGAGTTTGATCCCTGGAACCACAAAAAAAGAAAAAGAAAAAAAGACTGGGGATGTAACTCAGTGCAAGACTATTAGGTTCAATCCTAATATTGAAAGAAAACAAATGTAAAAATCCCATACAAAGTCTAATCTATGAAAAATATGATACCTTAAAAAACACTTCAAAGCTTAATTTTATTTCAGACAGCATTTAAGAATCAAAGCTTCAACACAGAGTCACAATTTGGCTGCAAACTTCAGGAGCTCAAAGCTAAGCAATTTGTGAAGAAAGACACTGCCACCTATTGGTCCTTGAACTGGCGTAGCAAATTATGCACATGCCAAGACTGTATGGTGAGTATCTAAGTTGAACATTTGAGTATTTTGTGTACTGAAAAGTATATTTCTAGAATTGATGTAAGAGTATAGGGAACTTTCTTTTCAGTTTTTTGAGACAGGTCACACTATGTAGCCCAGGCTGACCTCAGACTCATGATAATCTTCCTTCCTCAGCCTCCTGAGTGCTGGGATTACAAGCATGCACCACCATGCCTGGCTTTTTCAAATTTTTTCTATTAAGCAAATTTGTGAAGTCATATTTATACCAGAATTGCTATAGAAAATAAGTGTTATGTAGCACATTTTGTTCCCTTATCTTTCTTTTTTTTTTGAGACAGGGTCTCACTATGTAGTTGAGACTGACCTGGAACTCACTTTGTAGCCCAGGCTGGTCTTGAACTCACATTGCTCCTCCTGCTTCAGCCTCCGAGTGCTGGGATTACAGGCGTGGTGCGCTACCATGCCTGTTTTGTTCCCTCATCTTTTAATGGAAAATAGCAGTTCTCCTTTTCATATCATAAAATTGCTTGGAAACATAAATTGCTTGAAAGGTGTAATAAATAAGTCAGTGTGAATTCTTTTTTTTCCCTCCCTCCCTCCTTTCTTTTTCTGTTTTGTTTTGTTTTGTTTTTTGAAACAGGGTCTCACTATGTAGTTGAGACTGACCTGGAACTCACTTTGTAGCCCAGGCTGGTCTCGAACTCACAGCAGTCCTCCTTCCTCAGCCTCCTGAGTGAGTGTTGGGATTACAGGCGTGCACCACTACGCCTGGCTTTCTTTCTTTTTTTAAGAGTAGGAAAAATTTATTGAGGGAAAGAAAGTTTTCGTCTAAGAGAAAGTGGGTTGCCTGCTCACCCTACTTCTCCAAGATGTTTTATACAGCAAAGCTGTATAGTGAGGCGGGTTCTTTTCTCTCTCTCTCTCTTTTTTTTTTTGTACTGGGGATTGAACTCAGGACCTTCGACCTGTGAGGCAAGTGTGGTGCCACTGAGATAAGTCCTTGTCGCTTTTCATTTTTTGGTACCGGGAATCCAACTCTCTTCCCTTCCTCCCCTCCCCTCCTCTTCTGTCTTGTCTTCTTTCCTCTTTTTTTTTTTTTTTTTTTTTTTTTTGTAGACAGAATCTCACTGTGTTCCCCAGGATGTCCTCAAATTCATGATCCTCCTGCCTCAGCCTCCCAAGTAACTTTGATTGCAGGTGTGGAGCACCACCTATGGCTTAATCAGTGGTATTTATTATTGATTGATTTATGATACCTGGGGATTGAACTCAGGACCTGCAAGGCAGGCAGAGTCAGTGGCTTTTAAATAAAGAGCTCATAGACCTACAACATCCACTGAGAAGTTCGGAGATTTCTGAAAAAGATCTGGGCAAAAAATAGAAATCCTTCCAGCAACTCTGCTAAGAAGCTCAGATTTTTCTAGGTGTTCATTTAAAAATAAATACATTTTTAGTCATTTCCATGGACATTTGATTTTCTGAAAATTATATGCAGTTCTAATGGAAAAACTGGTTTTATTTTTTAAAGAAAATGTATGGCGATCTAGATGTCCTGTTCCTGACGGATGAGTATGACACCGTTCTGGCTTATGAGAACAAAGGCAAGACTGACCAGGCGACTGAGAGGAGGGACCCTTTGATGGATACGCTTAACAGCATGAACAGGGTCCAGCAAGTGGAGCTCATTTGTGGTTAGTACTGTGTGTGTGTGTGTGTGTGTGTGTGTGTGTGTGAAAATTCATAAGATTTATTTCCCTGTGCAAAAGAAATGTAAAAGAAGGTAGTAAGCACCTGGATTTCTAATTTTATGCAAAGAAAATGCAAAAATTGTGTACCGGGTTTCAGCTATTGCTTGTTTTTAATATTGCTGAGTATTCTGCTGCTAGAACCATGGACTTACGAGTTTCATGCTAAAATAATTACGTTTGAGAAACCACAGTCTGTACTATTTTGATTAAGGGTAGATATATATAAATGCAGAATTATAGCAAACTTTTCCATCCATAGAGATAATTTTCACTGGCATTATAGGTCATCTTTTTGAGCAAAGTATGTCATCTTTTTGACAGTTCTAGAGCTTGCTTCAGTGATTCACAGAAAACCACTGGAAGGAAAAACATCCCTAACCCCTTAATTGTAGGCTTTTACATTCCCCCCGCCCCAGCATGGCCAACTTTCTTCAGTTTCTGTCCCAGCCATTTTCCTCTTGGATGCCACCACCTTTGTGTGCTTTTCATGGCATTATTTTTCTCTTTTATTTGTAACTTTTTGGTTCATTCCTTTTGCCCTTATCAGATGGAAAGTCTTTTTGATGAGAGTGGGTGCATTGTTGTAGCCCTCAAGGTGCCTCACATAATACAAACTATTGAGTGAATGAGTTTTAAAACTTAATGTTGGATGAGTCCGAGTTTATTTCAGGAACTAGAAATCCAAAGAAATAGGAAACCCTTTTAAAAATTCTTTGTTGATCTTTATAGGAGTGAGGACATTTCTGTTTTTTGTTTGTTTGTTTGTTTAAAATAAAAGTATCCCAGTTATTAAAATGAGGGAAGTCCAAAGAATTTGTAGGACATTGGGAACATGTTTCTATGCAGGTTTCACATAAGAAAATTTTGACTTAAACCATTTAATGTATTCAACTGCAAATTAACATTTTGTTTTTACTTTTTTTTTTGGTACCAGGGATTGAACTCAGGTCCTTATGCTTGCGAGGCAGGCGGTAGAACCACTGAGCTAAATCCCTGGCTCCTAACATTTTGTTTTTAAAAGCATGTAGCTTACCTAAATTTCAAGTGCTTGTTGTGGTTTTGATTTAGAATACAATGACCTGAAGACTGAACTTAAAGACTATCTGAAGAGATTTGCTGATGAAGGCACGGTATGTTAAAGAATTTTAATCATAGGCTTTTACATTTTTAATAAACTTTATTTTCTTTGCTGATTAAAGGACAGTGGAGTTAGGGAAGTATAAGGCACTTGCCTAGCACGAGTGAGGCCTTGGGCTCTATCCCCAGCACCACAGGGATAAAAATAAAAGACTAGAGTAAAAAATGGAGTACTTGAAAATTTAAGGCCGAAACTAAAGTGTTATTGGCAGGCTTGGGGTGTCAGTAGGAAATAGTAAACCCCCAGGGACCTGTTAGGAGTCCTTACCAACAACCTCAGATCCCCAGAAGGGATGTGAGGAGCAGCAGACACTGGCCTGGGGAGCATCTGAGGCTGAAAAGAAGGCTGAAGACCCTGCCTGTGGGTCCTGGCTTTGGAGCAATGATTCCTGGTGGGGAGGGAGAAGTGACTGGGCAGGCAAAATTCAAACCAGACCAAGTTTCTGGGATTCTAAGAGCTGGAGACTAAAAAATTTCTCCTCCTCCTCAGAAAATGTGTAATTTTAAGCCTGGGTCTAGAATGTCATTTAAAATAGGGTTCCAGATAAATTTGTAAGTACTTCCTAGTTGTTTACATATGTTTGTAGCAGATTATTTTTCTTTTTTTGGAACCGGGGATTGAACTCGAGTCCTTGTGCTTGCAAGGCAGGCCACCGAACCACTGAGCTAAATCCCCGGCCCCATACAGATTATTTTTCTAAAAAAACCTGTCTTTCACAGGAAAACAGGAAAATTAACCCTTCTCCTCATAGCCTAAGAGTGTCCTTATAAACAGTTAAAGTTCCGCTCCGCTGTAGCCAGAATCCAGATCCTTATCCCCATAGCTTTGACTATGGGGAGAATGTTAAACTCTAGATAGTCTCAGATGATAGACTGATTGCATTTTATTTAATGTTTACATCTGATGGTAAAAAAAAAAAAATAACATCTAGAAACTACAAACTTTGAGACAAAGCAATAAAATGATTTATTGTTGAACCCAGTATTTATTCATTAGCATTTCTACTCTGAGCACTGGCTGTGAGCACTGGAGGACATCTAGGAGCGCACGCTGTAGTTGTGCTTTTAGGTCTCGGGCCTCAGAGTCCATAACTCACATTCCCTCCCAGTGGCTTTTAGTGTTTCATCTGTGTGAGCCAGTGCAGGGCCAGACCCTTCATTTATTCGCACTTTATAATTGTAGATTCCTGAGCCATTTAACTGAGGCATCTCAGGGTGTGTCGTTAGCTTTCCAGACCCTGAATCCTGGGGTTCAAATTCCTTATCAGTTGCCCGGCAGTTTTCTTCTTGGTGCTTGTGAAGCTAGTGTATCAGCTACTGCTGTTGTGCAAAGTGCTGACAGAGGTCTTTGAGAACTAATAGCTATTTTATATATTTATTTGTTTTGTTTTGAAACAGGGTCTTGCTTTGCAGTTCAGGCTGGCCTTGAATTCACTATGGTAGTAGCCCAGGCTGGACTTGAACTCACAGCGATGCTCCTGCCTCAGCCTCCTGAGTGCTGGGATTACAGGCATGCGCCACCACGCCCAGGCTATTAATAGATATTTTACCCTAAGAAAGGTGTTGCAAATCATCGCACCTTTTGTTTGAGTGAGTCAGTAACACCCTGGGGAAGGGAGAGGGAGGTTTTCACCCTGTCCTGTGACTGATTTCTCTTGTACTTCTTCATCCCTTTCCCTTCTGCTCACATACATTCACATCCTCTTTTTCTTTTTTTCACTTTCGAATCCCACTATCCAGCATCTGTTACTGTTGTAATTAAAGGTAAATTAACAAACCTGTCTCTTACGGTGACTTCTAGGCAGCTTTCTCTCTGATCACATGGCATAGACTCCCTCCTGGGATGAGCAGGGATCCCTAGGTTGTTCCATTTTGCCTTTTTAATTTATATTTTCCCTCTTGTTTTTTAAAAATTTTTTTTTAGTTTGCTTATATTATAAACACTTTTGTATAATTTTTAAAATTATTTTACCATAAAACAGAAGATTTGCCATTTTTATTGCACAAGCTGGATTTACTAAAAGAAGTGCTTCTATAGTTTTTCCCAGTAATTTTTGTGCTTATATAGCACATATCTTTAATTTCAGACACTCGAGGAAGTTAAAGTGTGTGAAGCAGACCAGACTGTTTTCTGTGGGTGACTGTAGGGCTGAGGGACATTGCTGTAAGACAGCTGTGGCACAGAGTCCCAGGAGCCCTTCCCGGCCTCAGGCTGGGTGCTGGCGTTGCCACTCTCCCGTCTGATAATCGTGACTGTGCCAGGCGGGGCTTACAGGCATCATCCAGACTTCCCGGCCCCGTTAGACAGGCGCTGCTTTTATCTCATTTCACTCGGGGAAGCTGAGGCAGGGCATGGAAGCTAAGCTTTGAACCATCTTGCTCTACGGCTCAGCTGTGTGACTCCAAGTGTGCCAGCTTCATGAGCCCGGATGATGTCTTCTGTAAAAATCGAGGCGATATAATTAATTTTACATTACAGCAGAGGTCCTCAGCACATGATGGTTCGACTTAGGTTTTTCTGATCTTGCCAAGGTGTGAAAGGAATACTTACTCCGTGAAATGACTTTGAACTGTGGATTTGGATCTCTTTCCAGGCTGGCAATGTGTGATCAGATCCTCTCTCTTGAAGGAGCAGTGGCCACGACAGCCAGCCGTAGTTCCCAGTTACCCCTGGATTACACCACTAGTCTGTACTGTGTTGCTAAGCCCTGTATTTCGTTGGTCATATGTGTTAAATGCATTTTCAGCTTAGGGCATTTTCAGCTTCCAGTGGGCTTCTCCAGTGTAACCCCATCATAGGTCTGTAAGTCGAGGAGCATCTATAATTTTTACCAGTAATGTTGTTTGACTTGTTTGTGAATATCGCAACCTTTTATTGCTCTGTCATACAGTTTTCTTTCCTATTGTTTTTCATTCACAGGTTGTTAAGAGAGAGGACATTCAGCAGTTCTTTGAAGAATTCCAGTCAAAAAAGAGAAGAAGACTGGATGGGATGCAGTATTATTGCAGCTAGAGTGAAGTACGGAGCTTTCTCACTCAGACCAGTGAAAAGGCCGCTTACTATTCCAGGAATAAAGAGGCGTATTTCACACTTGGTCCCCTTCCTGTCCCGTGAGGCTTCCTCCTCCGTCCTCACTCCTTTCCTTCTCCTTCACTAAGGTAGCCACAGTGATTATGCTGATCTCACAGCCAGCGTCCTTCTTTAACTCAGCTAAATGCAGTTCATTCCACAGACTTTAGCTCTCCTGCCCCAGGATACCCAGGGTTTTCTGCTTATAAGTTTTAAGAAGTTTGGTTTGGTTTTGAGAAAAAAAAATTGGTTTCTTTTAAAAGAATTTGTTCTTTTAAAACATTTGTTCTGAATGTTTGTCCTTCACCACAGAGCTGTTGCCTTCCAGAGCCTCTGTAGGTGTCCAGAAGGCTTCCTTCCTGTCAGCCTGAGCCTCTTTCTGTCCCCACCCCGTGATCGTGGTGCCTTGGGTAACAGCTTCCTCAGCCTGGCCTGCCTGCCCTTCCGCCTCCTCCCTGCTGTCTGAGGTTTGGTCATTGCTTGCCAGGGTCTAGGGACTTGGAGTAGCCAGGACTGGTGGATTGGTTTATGACCTGGATTTCTGTCCGAAGCAGGGAGATTGATGACAGGATTGAGGAGGAAAAACTTTGTTACAAATTTTACTAATAAAGTGAAATTTTCATTCACAACCCTACTGGCACTCCAATATTAGAATATTAGTACTGTAGTGCTCACAGGGCTTCCTGGGAAAAAGTCTGCCAGCACACGAGCCCCTTTTTGCTGCCTAAAAAATGACCGGATATCACCCCTGTGAAATCTTGGTGGTTTACAAAGTCCTCTGGATTTCCTTATATTTTCAGGGATATTCATAAGCATATATTTAAAATGGACCTATTTTGATACTGTTCTGTTACGAAAATGTTAGAACCCCAATAAGTTATCTTTCCCCTTGAATCTGCTGAAGACAAAAGTAACTGACTTAGATACTTGTAGTGAGCAGAGGCAGTGACTGCCCTGCTTTGGAAGAGACAGACTGGAAGTTTCCAGACAAGGCCCTGGGCTGCACGAATGATGAGTCTGTGTACATAATTGTAACGTCCACAGCCACTTCTCGATGACTGAGGTCTTCTTCTGAAGATCCTCGTGGAATGTTGTATAAAACCCCATTTTTGAGGGGAAGTCCCTTCAGTTGGTAGGAAATCTCTCTAAAGCCCTTCAGTCTGTCTGGAAAACACCTTTTGGTAAATATAGAGCCCTCATTTCCTCCTGAAGGAACACAGACTTTCCTGATGGTAAATGACACTCAGGCTTATTAGAAGCAACATTGTAGCTTTGGGGCCACATGGGTCTATTAATATTCCTTTTATGCTGGGCAACAGTCATGTGGACAAGTGCAAACTAATCTCTGGACAAGATGGAAAAAAAAAGTCAAGGCCTTAGAGAAGTTGTCCCATTCCTGCTTGTTGGTACTCAGCCTCCTAATTACCAATGCTCATGAAGACCGATGTGTGGGGCCAGGTCTTCTGGCTGCAGGAGATGCTTGTGTGCCGAGAGCCTTGTGGAGAGGGCTCTGTTAAAAAGCTAAGAGCATCTGCAGACAGATCTTTCAGATGTCTGAGGATGTCTTGAACCCCTTCTGCAAAGTTGTTCTCGAGTGTACCATGCCCTTGTGAAAGTCTGTATCTTTCCAGTGTCTGATTTAACTATGGGAAAGCTCCTTACCACCTGGACCGTTCAGGATGAGGTCTCTGGGCCACGTAGCACTGTGCCATGCAGCCCCAGTGCCGAAGGGCTCCTTTCTGAAAGTACTGCTCCTTCTTTTACATTAACCAGAAAACCTCCTTTTTTACCTGTTCACAACTAGTTTTCTTATTGACTATATATAGGACTGTCTCTTCTTGTAGAGACTGATTTTGGCCAACATGTGGCAGTTGATAATGCATGTTTTATGCAAAATTCAAATATGGTATTAGTTGCTTTTAAGAAATCCTGACATTATATGTGCATTTTTGTAGAAATTGTTACTGGACTTATACGTACATTCTGAACTCCATCAGGTTTCTGTAAAATTTAAATAAATAAAACCAATTCAAAGCAGTTGCTTTTCTGCTTGTTCTTAGGTTTCCATCTACATGCCCGCCCCGGTTTCCTCTGCAGGGGAGTAGCTGTGTGTGGTGCTCTCCAGCACCTGTCCCGCAGCTCCACCCTGACACCCTCGAGACGACTGGGTGCCCTCCACCTCTCCTGCTCCTGCGACTCTCCCTCATGGGCCAGCAGCCTGGCTTCTCTGTCCTCACTGCTGTGGGCTTCGTGCTCCTAGACCCAGCTGGCCAGCAGTTCCACTAGGCAAACTGAAAAGGTCTTCAGACAGCTGTTTGGGCTTCCACAGCAGGTGCCACTGTGGAGTGAGGTGACCCCTGAGAGAAGGGTCCTCGATACCCTGGCACCCTGGGACCAACAGCGGCTTGGGCTCTGCCTATTCTTATGTCTTCTCTTGCCCTCAGGGCAACCGGATGGTTCTCATTGGCCTAGGCCAGCTGAGACACAGTAGTGAGGTGACATCCCAAGGTCACAGTACCCACACGGGGCAGGGGCTGCACTCCCTAGTTTCCAGGCCTGGAGCAATAAATGGGATGGCAACAACTGAACCAAGAAGCTGCTTTGGAATGAGAGTCCCCTACATGTTTTTTTTTTGGTACCAGGGATCAAACTCAAGACCTTGCGCGTTTGAGGCAGGTAGCGGCACCACTGAGATAAGTCCCCAGCCCTAGAGTCCCCTACTTGATGCACTTCCCACCTGGTCCCTTTGTGGGCAAAATGCTGCTGACCGAGGATCTGCTTTTTCTTCAGTGACCTCTTAATTATGGGTAGAGATGGCCTGACATGCTGTTACTGGCTAATATTCATATAGCTACTTTGCCTTGGACTATATTCCACTTCGGCACAAATCCATGGGAATGCTGTGTGAATTCGTTTGCTTAATATCTGTCTTCCCCATTAAACCACAAACGCACTGAGGTCAGGAACTGGCCGCCCTGCTCATCACTTTCCAGCAGTGGCATGATGGGTGCCCCAGCAGGGCTGTGTATTCGTGTGCATAACCCTACCTAATCCTCACAATGACCTGAGGGAGACACCTGCACACCCCCACTTTTCAGTTGGGGAAACTGAGGCTCAGAGGGGTCGAGGTTCCCCAGCTAGTAGGTGTCAACCCGCAGAAATTGGGCACTCTTAACTCCACTGATCTGGCTTCAAGGACATGGGCACCTGGGAGCAGCTGGGAAGATGCTGATAGCTTAAGGCACAGGGTGCCATAGTTGCCCTGGGGTGAGAAGGACTTTGTGTCCTGGGTTGGTTTGGGACTCTACCGGCACCTAACCTGCTGCAGGCAAGGGGATCAAACCTTCCAAGTAGCTTGACTCCAGGTCGCTCCCACTCGCGTGTTGTAGCAAAAAGAAGTGGCCAGACATGCAGCGCCCATCTTCGCCCACCGGGAGTCACAGCAGAGGACAAGGGTGACTGTGGCAGTGTGGCAGGTGGCAGCAGGGCATGGTGGGGGTGGCGACGCATGCGAGGGAAGCTAGGGAAGGGGTCACCACCGCCCTGTCACCTGTTAGCAGGAGGAAGCCCTTGGCCCCAGGCAGAGCCCGGGCTCCACAGGCCCCTTTGTACTGTGGCAGCAGAGCCCACCCCCACCCCCAGGCTGCAAGTGGGCAGCAGTGGGCAGCAAGGGGCGGAGTTGGAGACCAAAGTCGCTCCACTGAGAGCAGGAGGGAGGGAGTGGAAGTTGTTCCTACGTGGTGAGGACACCATGACTCCCTGGCCCTCACCCCAACCCTGAGACAAGGACAGTGCAGTGATGAAAACTCCCCCTGTGAGGCTGGACGGGCTCCTCCCAGGTCCCACTGTCTGATAGCTTTTGGGCTTCAGTTTCCTCATCTGCCCGACTGGAATATTTCTGCCCTCACAGGGTTGTAGGAATCAGGTGCCGCAAATGTGCCTGCTGAGGATTACTCATTCCCGCTTGTCAGGTGAGGAAATTGAGCCTCAAGGAGCAGCTAATTAAGCCAGATGGGGTGCAGCCCAAGTCTCTTAAGTGTAATCAATCTGGGGAGGGATTTTGTTTGCTTTGTTTTCTTGTTATTGTGATACTAGAAATTGAATGCCAGGGCTTGTGCAAACTAGGCAAGTGGTCTACCATTGAGCCATATCTCCAGCCCACCCCTCTTTTTTATTTTTTTAATTTTTTAATTTTATTTTTTTGGTACCGGGGATTGAACTTGGGTCCTTGCGCTTGCAAGGCAGGCCACCAAACTGCTGAGCTAAATCCCCCGCCCTCTTTTTTATTTTTTAGTACAAGGTCTCAGTTGCCCAGGCTGGCCTTGAATTTGGGATCCTCCCGTCTCAGCCTCCTGAGTAGCTGGGACTACAGATAGGCATGTACTACTTACTCTACTCAGGCGGTGAGATTTTTTTGTAGAGGCTGAACTGGTGAAATAATCAGGGTGAAAGTATTTTGAAAATGAAAACATTTTACACCAAGTGGAGAGGAGGCACACAATAAGCATTTTAAAATGACAGGGTCCCTTTTCAATCCTCTCCTGTCCTTGGTGGCAGTTTTCATCATAATCATCACCAGAATGTTTGTCAATGCTGGATAACACGCTGGTTAAATTCCAGTCATGTTCACCCAGCTTCGCATGTATTAGGGTTCACTAAAGGAACAGAATTAATATTTTAAAATATTATATATATGATATATAAAGGATTTACCAGGTAGACTTATGACAGCCGCCTGCAGAATGGGGGTGGAAAGTGTAAGACAGTTGTCTGTGTGCTGGGTCCAGTAAAGTCCAAAACCTGCAGCCTGGTGTGAGTCCGCGCAGGAAAGCCAACGGGTCTGTGCCGGAAGCCTGAAGGAACTGCAGGACTTCCAGAGACAATGTCAAAGCCCAGAACACGTCTGAAGAAAATGGGCAGACTTTCCCTTTTTATTCTGAGACTGAGCAGCAGGGTGAGGCAGGCCCCAAGGCTGCAAGTCTATCCGTCGGTGCCGCCCACATCTGGGGTGGGGCTCCCCTCCTCGGTTTGCTGCCTATGATCCCTGTCGATCATCTGCAAGACACCCAGCTCTTTACCAATCTGCTACGCGGTTCTTAGCAAGTCAAACTGACATCGCAGTTAATGGTCAGCCTTGTGCGCACTCAGACGGCAGCAGTGCAGGTTCTACGTCCACGACTAGGTTCCCGGCAGAGGAGGGGAAGTGGCCCAAGGAAGGAATGCTTGTGAGAAGTACTGATGTTCCTGTTCATGAAGACCTAGGCCAGGAAGGACTCCTGCTGGCATCCTAAGGGTCTTGAAGACTCAGTAAGCCCGTAAATTGGGGCCCGTCCCACAACATCAGATGCCTGGCAGGTTCCACCAGCTATTACTAGACAGGGTCCAAAGAAGTCCCCAAGGGAGGAGATGGGGACCTCAACTTACCCCAACCACAGCGTAGATTGTAGGTTTGCTGACTTCATCACAGAAAAAGAAATTTCAAAATGCATCAGTGAGGGGCATAAAGAGCTTTTGTTTTTTGAGACAGGGTCTTGCATAGCCCAGGCTGGCCTTGAACTTGTGGCGATCCTCCTGCCTTAGCCTCCCAAATGCTGGGATTACAGGCATGTGCCACTACACTCAGCTAAAGAGGTTTATGAGGCAGAGTCAAAGTATACACTCAGAACAGAGAGGGGCATCATGGTCAGGGGAGCTCTCCTGCCTCGATGGCCAGGGAGGACACTGTCCCAGTCCACGGGGATGCAAGAGGGAGGGGCAGACAGCTGCTGGCCAAGCTCCCCCCACCTCCAGCCACCAGGGGAAGAATGAATCAGGCCCTTCTCCCCTGTGTCAAGGGGATTGCACAGGAGTCAGTGGGAGAGGCAGCGTGGCAGGCTCAACTGATTGCCACACTGCAAAGGGCACAGCCCTTGCTGCCCCAAGGAATGATGAGAGGAAGCCCTTGGGTCACCACACCTGGACTAACAGGGACCCCTCAGAGGTTTGGGTGAGTCTGTCAGAACCCAGAGAAGTGGGAAACACAATTGCTTCTTTTTAGCTCAGTCCAAAGGTGGGAGGTAATTATGGTACACCTAATAGAAGATTCCAGAAAAGGGGGAAGTCTATGTAGCTGGGGAGTAGCTGGCAGAGGAGTTCCCGGAGGAATGGGAAGGGCGCCAGGTGCCTCTGCATCCTGCAGCAACTCCTGCAGGCAGGAGCCCCCTCGGAGTGGGAATGAGAAGACCTGTGTTCAGGGTGACTTGAGGGTCATAAGACAAATACATGAGGCCCATAACTACTGCTCAGTAAGTGAACCAACACCATCTCCACATTAAGGATGAGGAAGTGGAGGGTTGGGTGCTTTGCCCAGGCGCTATGGCTATTGCAGGGCAGAGTCAAGACCCTTGACTGGGCAAGGCTTCCTCCCACAGGCTTCCCTGCAGTAGCTCCTCACTCCCAAGCCCTGCCACAATCCGGCGGTGGTCACTGTTACCCAGACACCCAAGTGCACAGCTGCCGGCTCCGCAATGCCTAGAGATGATTACGATGGGCTCAAATCTAAGGCCCTGTGAGAGCAGGGTGCTCAGATCCAGGTCAGGCATCTCACTCCTGATGGGTGGGGAGGCGCAAGAATGGGGCATGGCTGTGCGGAACTGGAGAGACAAAAAAACAGGGGCCCATGGGTGAGAGGTTCACGGAGCCCGGTGGTCCCAAAGCTGAAGTCAAGCCTGTGTGAGGCCCATAAAAATCCCAACCACATGATCAGTGTTGTGTATAGAGCTGGGTTTGGAGCTAGCACAGTTAGCACAAGGCTAGCAGGTGGCAGGGAGGGCAGAGCCATACAACTCTCATTCTGTCTGCCAAAGAGAAACCCCTAAACATGGATGGGCAGAGCCAATCAGAAGTGAGTCCAGGCCGGAAGGAGCCAGGACCTTGGGAGTCCTTAGGGAATTGGCAACCTAGATAGGGTGACCAAGAAAGGGACAGAGGCCCCTGCCTGAGAAACGGCCCATGATCTCACTTCACTTGTTTTTGTGTTTATAGGCAGGGGATGGTAGAGACTGCAAACTGTAGCCGAGGCACTTGGTAGGTGTCCCCAGAGGATTCTAAAACAAGCTGGGGCGATGAACGAGTGTGAGTTTTCTCATAAGGACACTACCGCCCAGCCTCCTCCCACATCCCACAGCCACCTCCTTACACCTCTCTGGTTTTCTCTCCACTGCTAAACCACTTACAAAAGTCATCTACATAGAACTCAGACTTCTGCCTGCCACATCACCAACCCCACTCACTTTCCCCCATGTGGCCAGCCCAAAATGTCCTGGGGGCCTGGCCCTGCCAAACCTGAGCAGCTGCCACAAACTGCTCCTTTAAATTGAAGTAATACACATGTCATTTAAAAATTGAACCAGGGGCTGCGGGTGTAGCTCAGTGGTACAGCAAGCGCTTAGCATGCTCACAGCCCTGGGTTCCATCAACAGCAGCAAAAAGCAAAAACAAAAAACCCAGTACAAAAAGAATACAGTTAGAAACCCTCCCACCCAGCTTGCCAATGCCCTGCTCCAGAGGCAGTCCTATAAATCTTCTTGTAGATTCTTGCAAAAGTGTTTTTTCCCCTCTTCTCCACAAATGGCACCTATGTGCAGTCTTGTGTACTTTACCTGTTTCTCTTTATTTTGCAGATCATAGTCCCTCCTGTTGAACAGTCTGGGCTTGGCTATGAGAACCACTTTGCTAGTTTTCCTTCTGCCTGCGCGGCTACCCTGGGGCAGCAATGCGCACCAGCAGGCCTGGGAAGGCTAGCGTTCCTCCAGATCCATCGCCTCAGTTCACCCCTCACCTTCCTTCTAGCACATCCCCGAATCACACCTCCTCCCAAGGCTTCATGCAGCACCCACATGTACAGGCCCCTCCCCTGAGCTCCCGGAGCACAGCACAGCCACTTGCCATTTGAAGGCTGGCTGCTTGATGGACATTTCCAAGCTGACATGATCATTATTAAATTCATCTTGCTTCTGGTTGGACTGCACCCTGCAGTCTCCAGGGCGTGAGGTACTGTGCCCTAGTTGTTGGCTATTTGCAGTTTTCCCTGGACTGCTCTTGATTGGCATCCAGAGTCCACTTCTGCTTCTCTTCAATCTGTGTCTTGCTCATTGGCCAGAGTGATTTGGAACATTCAAATCTAATCACACCCCTGCTGAAAACCATGTAGTAGTTGCTATGTTACCATTAGTGCCAATCTCAAAATCCCTAGCTGCCCTGCCAGGGCTGCTGAGTTGGATCCACAGCCATCTCACCCCACTGAGCCTTCAGGGTACTCAGCTTTACTGCCTTGGGTTCTGCTCTCCCTGGACCGTTTCCCTCCTTGCTGCTGTCCCGACTTTTCCTTCTGCACCTTCTCTCCCCTACCAAGCGTTGAGGGCTGTGACCCTGACTGTCCTATTCAGTTCTGCTGCCTCTGTCCCAAGTAATGGATGGAATATCTCGGGAGCAAATAAATGTCATGCTTTACCCACTACCACTGCTGCATGCCCAGTTCCTCCTGCTCCTGCCACCCAACTTGCTGGTGTGTGGGACATTACTGTGGTTTGGAATTTGAGTTCTGCCAATTTACTAGCTGTGTGACCTGGGACAAGTTACCCAGGATCTCTGTATTTTGGTTTTTCTCTTGTAAAATGGCATGAGTAACACCACTTAAATCACAGAGGATTATAGGAAAGTTTGTATAATTCATTGAAGGGTTAAATGAAAATATATTAATTGCAGTCTCCTCCATTCATTCACTTGAGGGCCAGTCAGTTCTTCCCTCAGTCCTGATGCTGCTCTGGACTGGGTTTTTTTAAAAACCCATTTTTCAGTCAATTGAAAAGGTGTCCAGTTTTGTCTTCTGCTCCATGTTCCAGATCCTGGGACATGTGGACTCCAGATCTCATGTACTGAGGAGAGGTAAGGCCAAAGTGGTGAGGGAAGCCAGCTGCAACCATTTCAGGATGACCCACAAGTACAGAAATGTCAGTTTACTCCTTCGATTTTCATTTTTAGTTCCCCTTCCCTGCTCTGGAGTTGAGGATCAAACTGTGGGTCTTGTGCAAGTCAGGTAAGTACAGTATCACTGAACTATAGCCCAGCTTTCTTGGTCAAATATTTAGGAAACTTACCTACAAAAACTTTTGATCTGGGTATTCCACAGTTATCCCTAAAATGGGTACAAAACAGAGACTTGTCTAGTGAGGCATGAAGCGGAAATGCTTGGAAGGAACTTGTCAGAGAAATGATTAAAACAAAAACTTTAAATAAATGCTATTTTATAGCAACTTTAAAAATGGAAATTAGAACTTTTTTTCCATGTTTTTCTTGCCCCCACTCTATGCTCTGGATAAGAATTCCATTTCCCTTTTTAAAAAGTATCAAACCTGAATGAGACTGCTGGGTGTGGTGGTGCACACCTATAATCCCAGCACTCAGGAGGCTGAGTCAGGAGGATCGCTGAGAGTTTGAGACCATCCTGGGTTTGAGTTCCAGGTCAGTCTCAACTACACAGTGAGACCCTGTCTCAAAAAACAAACCAAACCAAACCCTGAATGAGACTGAATTTGAATGAGAAAAGCTGCTGAGGGCCCTGCATTGCAGGACACGCTGGATCTCCCTGCTGCCCAAGGTTCCAGGTGTCTGGTATACGTGGGAGGAATGAAGTCCTCTGGAGGCCCTAGCCCAAGTAACTCTTTTGCTCAAATTTGTAAAGTACAATGTCTCAAAAATGTCCCAGGGAAATAATAGGAAGAACTTGATGATTCAGAATGTGTTATTTCTAAGAAAATCATAAATAATAATGTCTCTGAATAACTGAAATCTTAGAAACAGTGAGCGGATCATCCTGGAAAGCCTCCTGATTCTACCCTTAAGGGCTACAAAGCATGTCCATAAATGAAGACTGTACACTACATTACTAAAACAGACTGTATCCAACTCGGCAGGTTCTATACAAGCCATTTATTTGAAATGCCAACTATATGTAGGATAAAGTCAGTGTTACATGCTTATCAGTAACAGTAGAAAAATAGAACCAGTGAAAACCTCTGTACAACTGTAATGGTACTCAAAAGAGAAATGTATCGTTTTACAATGCTTCACACAGACGAATTCAAGTTTGGAGGTACCTAAATAAAAATACTATATATTTCTTTAAAAAACACTATGTACAATTGAAGCGTAAACAAGTTTTACAAAGTACTGGTTATGCAGGTTGTAGAAAACACTTGCATAGGACATGAAATCAGTTTTAAGAAAAATTTCTGAGCCTTTAGCATTGAAGGCACTTAACTTTATACCAGTAACAGCACAACCACAAGAAACGCAGTGGTGTAGAAGGTCCCACATCTCTCAGGTACAGATGTGGCACATACACAGCAAGTGGAGTTCAGGAACCTTCAGCTTTTAGTCATCCCACCCAAGAGGACGACTCCACACGGCCTGCCCAGGGAACCTACGTACACGGCCATGGGCAGGTACCCAAGGAAGCTTCCAGACAGAACCCACATAAACTCACAAACACCAGAGGCTATTTTCAAGACACAATTCCAAGTAACTTTCTGTGAAAACAGCCACACATTATAATATTCAGAATATGAAAGATTGATACACAGTATGAAGATTTTCTAAAGAAAAAAAATCAAAAGGCTTGCCCAGATAATAACTACGACAGCTATTGCAATTGATAGGACAAAAAGATAACATTTCATAAAACATTCATACAAGTGTTAATGGAAAACAGTAATACCTTCCAGCGGTGTACACAGTTAACTCTTTCAGTAAGATTATCTGTAATGAGGTCTGAAAGTAAACTACACAGCAGACAAAGTGAACCACTGCAGAACCGGGAATAGCACCCATCACTGCAGCTTTAATAGTGACTATGAGAGCTGAAGGTCACTGAACACTTGAATTCAAAGAAGCATTTCCTTTTGAATTCAGTCCAAAGATAAGAAGAATGCCTTTTAATTGTAAAACAGCTATCTTACAAGTATTTCATTAGACATGTTTTTCCCTAAAAGGCAAATCCAACATTGTGAAACTATCTATCTGTGACTCCACGCCCCTCATGTTAGAACTAGGTGGTGCAGTCAGCCAACCGGTTACCCTTCCTTCTCCTGACCAAGCAGTCTTAGCAGTGGCTACGGTGTTGGCCCATCCTGCCAAGAGCATCCAAGAACAGCAGGAGGGGTCTGTTAGCAGTCCTCTCCACCCTTCTCAGTCTTCCCACAACTGTATGACGTACTACTGGGAATCACATTTCATATCACTGGACAGAGGACTTCCAAATGAACAGGGAATCTGTGCCCCGAGGCCTGTTCCTGGGATCAAAGCCAGAGATGACCTACAGAGCAATATTGTTATTTGTGCCCTTGCTCCTGCTTATCACTTTGAAAGCCACAGCAGAACCCCCTTGAGCAAATAAGAAAATGGTTTAATGCTTTGTTTGCTGCTGTCAGGCTGGGTGTAACCCCACCAGCAGCAGACACATACATGTTTGGGCCCAAGGCTGGATGTGAATATACTTCAAAGTCTTCTTAAACTTGGGGATCAACACTGTACAACCCACCAGCCATGTCTTCCTCTCTCAGGTTAAGTTGATGGCAACCTTATATATGACTATGAAAGCATTTACTGATGGTCTCTCTCATGCGAGCTTCCTACCTCGTGCTGGACAGGAAATAAAGAAATTCTTAGAGATCAAAGCTGACTTGGTAGAGAAACATGACCCAAGCATGTTCTTGTACCTTAAGGCCTTAAAGCTAGGACATGATTAATTGCACCAATTAATTTTCCACATCTCTGCAAAGTAGCAAGTATGGGTAAAAGTGGACCCAATATTTAGGGATTATAAATCAACAAAAGAACAAGTGTCAAGGATTCCTGAATGTGATATTGATACTGCCCTGGCAAGGAAAATATTAGATGCAAGGGATCCTGAAGGGCTGAGAACAGCACTGGAGCCTGGCATCCTCAGGTCCAGGAGCCACACAACAGACTGACTGACTTATCTCAGCCCCAGGACACTAATAACCGGCCAGTCTTTAGGGAAAAAGAAAAGAAAAGCTCTCTCTTGCACGTTAGTTACTGGGGAAGCTACATCCTCCTTCCCCCTTCCCCCTGAGCAGCATCAGCTTTGTTCAAATGTTCAAGATTGTGCCTGCTGCGAGAACCTGAACCACCAATCAAAAGAAAACTCAATAAAGGATGACAAGTATTAGTAAAAAAACAAAACAAAAACCCCAACCAGATTGAGGAAGTAAAAAGAATTTCATAGTTTTAGAAAAAGATAAATATGAAAAACTCTGCAAAAACCCTCAGAAGCTAGGTTATTAAAATGACAGGCTAGCTCAGGCCCAGGAACGTGTGCCGGGAAATAAAGCAAGGGGGCATACGAGAATGGGTGTGCGGATGATTCTGACCTTTCATGCTGTTACTGTTTCCCTCGGGAGCACTGGGTGACCTTAAACTTAAAATATTTTTCAAAATCACAAAACTAAAACAATTATATAAGGAAAGGACCAACAGCATCTTTCAGAAATCTAACTCTTCTCCTCTGCACTAGCACTTGACTGGTGGCTCTCTAACCTCAACACACAGCAGGCAGTGGAAGTGGTGATTGTCCAAGTGGCCTGATTGTCCATGGCCTCAAAAGGAGATCTGGTATTTTTGTGATTTGGTTCTCATTAAATTTCTATACCAAGTGAAGTGCCAATTCCCGTGTCCTAAGTTTCATATTATACATATTTTTTTTCTGAGAGCAACCTTATTCAGACTTCACATTTATCTTAGTACAGCACTGAAAAAGATTTAATAGATGGGTTCAAAAGCTAGAGGCACATAGCTATTCAACCTACCCTATTAACCATACTTCACAAGGTACATTAAAAGTCCACCAACACCTAACACATATAAAAATCACATCTGTTTACCTTCTGCAAGTCACATTAATCCACAATCCCACAGATTAAAGCAAGACTTCCCTCTATACACATAGTTTTGCTGGGTAAACTGTTATGAAAAGCAAATTTCATAAATTAAATAATACTATGAACAACGACCACTAATTTTTACAATTACATTTTGAGTATATAAAAAATATTTAATGAAGTTTCAAAAAATGTGTGGGATATCACTGGTACCCCCCCGGCAAAAAAAGGCTGGGGATTTAGCTCAGTGGTTCTGCCGCCTGCCTTGCAAGCGCAAGGACCCAAGTTTGATCTCGGGTACCAAAAAAAAAAAAAACCCTAAAACCAAAAAATGTGTGGGATCAACAACACTGGTCTAATATGTAGGGGAAAATAGTAAAAAAGAAATAGGTCAGAAATGAGAAAGCCTTTTCAACACCCAAATTAGGTCCACTCATTCTTATCATGTCTGATTAACACAGAAAAGTCCGATTCATGAATTCTAAAACAATTCATGTTCACACATGTATATAACCACACAGTAAGGAATATCAGAGAATTAACTTTTGTTTCTGAAGAAGAAGACTGGACTTCAAAACATCCCATTATCTACTAGAAGAGCTAAAATTCAAAAATGAGGACAGAGTCCTGTGTTTTTCCGTCTAAAAAAGGAGCCATAAAGGCGATATATGAGCTGACCTCACAGCCAATGAGTGGAGCTCAGAATACATCACCAAGGTCAATGAATGCACCAGTAGCAGCTAACTAGTCAGGCAGCAGAACAAGTGGCGGCAGTCGGCCGGGGTACACAGATAGACCGACAGGTTTTCCATCTTTGAGATTATCTACTATTAGGATTTTTAAAAATGTCAGATTATTCCTGAGTGTATATCCACAGGGTAAAGTAGGAAAAGACCGTAAGAGAAACTACAGTTTTGGGAGAAATCAGAGTTGTTGACACCCAATAGAAATCTATTTACTTCAAAGTGCATGTAATTCATTTATATGGTAGCTTGTAAAGGCTCCCTAGCCCTGCATAGTTTTAGAGTGTGAGTGACTCATAGTGATATATATATCTGTGAAATATATATATCTTGAAAAGAGGTTTCCAAATATCCTTCCTACGAGGGAATGTTTAGGAAGTCTCTTTTCTTCTAAGTGCTATGGTTCTATGTGTTTGTAAAAATACAAAGTGAATGCTCAAATAATATTTAAGTGATTTAAAAACTCAAATACTAACATATTTACATAGGAGAGTAAGAAAAAAACAGTCCTTAGCTCACACATTGCCCTTCCAAGGGAGAGGATCAGAAAGATCCCATGTGCTCAGTGGTTCAGTAAAGGCCAAACCAGCGTCCCTAATGAAGTTCAAGTAGGACATGTAGTGTTCAACTGAAAACAAATTTCTTTTTCTTTTTTGTTTTTTGGTGAAAAAGCATTATGTATTATATACAACTATTATAGGACACCAAAATTGAGACATCCTTTGAAAAATATTTAAAAGGAAACATATGCTTACAAATACCAAATAACAATCCATAAGACTGAAGCCCTTTTGTCTTTTTTTTTTTTTTTTTCCCATAGAAAGCAATACAACTGAAGGCAGCAGGCAGTCATTTCACCCAAGGCAGCTGAGAGTCACACTTAGCGCCAGAAAACCTGAAGGATTTCTGCTGCTTTCTCATCCAAGGGATCCAATTTCCTTAGAACCTCATCAGCTGAGCAAATCCACAATATTCTAATCTGTACAACCAGAATCTGCACGGGTCCTGACAGTGTCCACACTGTGAACAAAGCAACAGCCTTAGCTTGGGCACCAAAGGCTTTTCTGCTTCCTGTTCTAACTGACGTGAAAACTTCAGGACCTGGAATGGACCCACTGGGGGAATGAAGACCAGCTCCTAAGACTTATTAAAGAATAACATTAGACTTATGGAGAATGAGCAGGAAGATTTCTGAACCTAAACAATTACTGAAAAGAGAGGAGCATTTTGATGTGCTGTTCTTTGGAGTTTCTATAATTAAAAAATAAACACAGAACTATTTCATAAGAAAATACATCTTAGTGTGCAATCCAATGCACATGGAAATTAGTAGATGAAAGGTAAAATGCAAAAAAGTATGAAAATACACTCTTTTAAATGTGGCAATAAAGTTGGACATACTGATATAAAATCAATACAGATAAAATAAATGTACAAGTGCAAAAAATTTCCATCATTTATAAAGAGGGGGAAAAAAAAGTGCCAGCTTGCTTGCTCTTTAAAATGGTTCCCTACATAATCGTTCAAACATAAAACAGACATATGCAGCATTCAAAATAACCCTCTTAGCATGCCATGTGTAATAAACATATATATACACACAAAAACCAGAATAAAATAATGTGAAAATGAGCTGGCATCAATAAACTGGTAAGTTGTTGGGTTACATCATAAATGGACGTTTCACATCTCAGGCACAGACGACTTGGAGGCTGCTCTCAGAGGGCAGGCTTTTTGTAGAGGAAGTCTGGCTTGCTCGGAGACCTCCTTCCTCTGCTGATGGAATCTTCCCTTTCCAGATCTGTGCTTCTCTGAGCCCCACAGCTCAGGGACTCACTGTCAGCCAGTCTTCTACTGGATCGCTCTTCTGGAGCTTCGGAGCTACATGCAGAATGTGAAGGTCTGGTAGGAGTCAGCCCAAAAGTCAAGTCAGTTTCTACTCCGGTTCGTCCCCTGACATGGGCTGGACCGCTACCAGCATTTTCTGGGGCTGCTACAGGAAAGTCTGACCGTGGGGGTGGTTGCTCAACGACATCCAGACGAATGAACTCACTCTTCTGTCTATGTGGATGCCCATCAGAGGAAAGTGGATATTCTCTCCTCACTTCTTCCTGTTTTTTAGGAGAGGGCTGACTAGGTAGACAGGCTGACTTTAAGCCACTTGGTGATGCCTTATTGTGGCTATACAAATCGGGACCAAAATATCCACCTCGTGAAGGGGAAGGCGTGCGTCTGCCAGGAGCAGGAGTAGAAGGTCTGCAAGCAGCATTTGAGAAGTCATAGAAATCTGGGTATTCCTGCTGACTTTCTCTAGCATCTGTTTTTTGCTCTAGTGTATGTTTTTTCCGAGAAGTATGTGTATGTCTCTGTGGAACACACGAGAGATGCTGGGGAGGCCCTGTTCCTGCTTCAGAAACTGGCTGGCTTATCTCTGTGTCTACAGCAAGTTCTGGAAGCCTCCTGTCCTTCAGTGACAGTGTGGAAACCCCCATGGCGATATCTGGCATCAGGTCATTCAGCACAGGCTGTGTACACTGAGACACAAACAAAGGGGAGGGTTAAAGAGAAAGGGAAGGAAAAGGGAAAAAAGGCCCAACAATTCCTCCTGGTCACTGATTTTGTTTCCTGATAGCTTAATTTAAGAATTTTTAAAATACAGAAAATTATAAAGCAGAAAAATCTCCCAACTTGCCCTACAGAGATAATCAGTTAACATTATGAATTTTTTACTTCATCTTTTTCAATTTTCACAAAATTTAGTGCACATATAATCCTGTCACTAAATCGAAATTACTGCATCATGTTCCACTATTAACTATTCTTCTACTATTAGGTTATTTCTTTTTTCTTGAGACAACATCTTACCATATAGTTCATGGTTGGCCTTGAACTTGCAATGTAGCCCAGGCTGGCCCTGAACTCTGGATCCTCCTGCCTCAGCCTGTAGAGTGCTAGCATTACAGGTGTATGCCACTACACCCACTTTTCAATTTTTTATTATAATCAAGACTACAAAGAAAGTACTAATCAATTACCTTAAAGGGAGTTTAGGGGTCAGGCGGAGCAGGGAGAGCTTGAAAGGGACAAGAATGTGAGAAAGGATCTAGTATGACCCACATATATACTAACCCATCACTCTAGGCCCTCCCTTTTTTTGGTATCGGGGATCAAACTCGGGACCTTGAGCTTGCAAGGCAGGTGGAACCACTGAGTAAATCCCGGCCCTTCAAGACCTTTTTTTTTATTTATTTGATTTTTTTGTGACAGGGTCTCACTATGTAGTTGAGACTGACTTGGAAACTCACTATGCAGCCCAGGCTGGTCTCAACTCACAGGGATCCTCCTGCCTCAGCCTCCCAAGTGCTGGGATTATAGGTGTGCACCACCATGCCCCAACTCCAAGCCCTTTTTTACTGAAGCTTCTCTGAACACATGCATTTTTCATTTTTCTCTCTATTCAGTGCTGTTGACAGCACATGAAAGAGTAGGAAGACTTAAAAACCACTGTTTCTCTCAAATGTATTACATAAAGCAGTTCAACCTCTACTGCAGTACAAAAGCAGGTGAAGAATCCTCTCAATTACCACCTACTTGCCCTAGCTCCCAAGGCTCCAAGTTAAACAAGGAGCTGAAAGTGTGCTGGCCAGAGGCAGAGACATGCATGAGAACCAGCTTTCTGCTTGTTTTCTGAGTGGGGAGTCTTTGCCATGTGGGTCCTGATGGTATGCCTGGCTCTAAGTAATTTCTCTTCCTTGTCCCACCAAAACATCTGGTAAAACAGAAGTCAGGGACAGATTCTAGACATGTGCTTGATCACATTAGGACACCAGCATGTCCATTTGTCCTGCTCCGTCACTATACTACACTACTCCTAACACTGGCAACTAAGTTAAGGATGACACTCGCTGTCCTTATCTTGTACCTCCAGTCTCTGGGCTCCTGCCCTTTCCCAGAGGCTGACACTAGCTTTCTTCTCTCTCTCTGCATACTACTCTGCTGCATTTGTTGAGCCTGTATAACACTTCGAGCCCTGCTCAGTCCCAGTGGGTCTCAGGGGGCCAAGGGAACAGCTTCTAACATCCCATTCCTTTCATCTGGATAAGTGACTTGGGTGTTAACTTACCATTTGTTTCTCAGAGGCCACTGCTACTGAGGCGGCAGCAGCTGCAGCAGTGGGGATTGTCTGTCTCCCCGGTCCTGTGGTGGTGCTCGCACAATCAGGCGGCGCTGCTTTAACACCTGGCAAATAGACTGGGGGAGGGCCAGCTTTGGGTGCTGTTCTGGAGTGAAACAGTGAATGATTACAGGGGTAAGAAAATGAACGTGAAGGGTGCTGACTGGGAGGTCTTTGTTTCCAGCCTGCTTTGAGTTGGTTATGGATTGGGGTGGCTGGAGGGTGATATGGAGGGGGTGGTGGGGGCAAGGGTGGATGGAAGGCCACAAAAGAGTCCAGGTCTGTAAACATGGTTTCTGCAGTAGGGGTACTGTTAATGCGACATCTTCCAGGCTGTCTCATGGTCAGGAGTGGACTTTCATCCCCAAAACGTTCATCAGGAAAGAATTTGTGAGGGTTCTAAAACAAAGATTAAAAAATAAAGGACATTTATTTGCAGATTTCATAGATGAAAATTTATAGGCTGAGAGAGTTAAGTCAAGTATATAGGAAAACCACCTTTAACAAGAGTATATATTAATAGAATTTTCTAAAGCAGAAGCCCAGGGGGGAAAATCACCTTAATAATGGTACGAAGAACAGAGTGCAGGCTAGGAAGCTTACAGCTATCTAGGAGTGCTCCGCACCCAACTAATCCAGCAAATAGGTCATTCATCTCTTGCAAGATTAAGTAAGTACTTTAGGGATAGAAACCACAGGGGATTTGAACAGCCTGGTGGCCATGCCTATGATCCTAGCACTCGGGAGGCTGAGACAGGAGGATTGCTGTGAGTTCGAGACCAGCCTGGGCTACATAGTGAGTTCCAGGTCAGTCTCAACTACATAGTGAGACCCTGTCTCAAAAAAACCAACCAACCAAACAAACAAACAAAACAAACCCCGAAGAAACAAAAAACCAAGAACCTTAAAATAGCCTGCTGTAGGGGCTGGGGTTCTGCTGCCTGACTTGCAAGCACAAGGTCCCGAGTTCGATACCCGGTACCAAAAAAAAAAAAAAAACTTGCTGCCTTGTCTAAGACCACAGTGCCATATTTACCCTTTGACAGGATCAAGGCTGATGAAGTGTGAAGTCAGAGGCAAGAAGGTGAAGTTAAATTTTACTCAACGATCTGATTTAGTGGTTGTGATCCCACTAAATACAATCTTATCCTAACTGCAAAACCAGTGGATTGCCCTTGTATATGATAATTACTAGAGACGAGTTTTTTCTCCGCTAGGATTTTAAGCACTCACACCATGATTCTTAGGTGTGAGTTTGAACCTTTATGCAAAGAATTTGTTTTGAGGGAAAAGAGAGGTGTACATATTGAAGACCTGTAAATACCATACTAAGTACAGTAACCACAAATGCCAGTGACCAAACCAGTATTTGTGTGGTCAGAATTTTCTACTTCCTGTGCCACTTCTACTGGGATGGAACCTTGCAGCAGTCACCATCTAGATGCTTGTTATGGATCAGAAACATAGCTGCTTTACGTACAGCACCTCCTATCTTCACCATTAATTTTACAGGCAAGGAACCTGACGCTGAGTGATGAAGCACCTTTATCCAAGTTAACCCACTACTAAGCAGAAGAATCACTGTGTGCTCAGTCCATCCCACCCTGCTGCCTCTTCCCAGGAGGAACTTGCAGGCTACCAGGCAGCGAAAGAGCATGTACAGAGAAGCAGCAGCAGCCTAAGGCTTCTGGGCTTGTCTACCATACCACCTGGCTGATGGCCAGGCAACCCTCTTTAAATAGTTTAATGCCATGTTCTACCTGCAAGAGCTCTGCAGCAGCATCTGCGAGCCCAAACTCCCTCAGCACTCGAATCTGGATCTCATAGCTGACAGTGGCACCTTCCCCACAGTTCAGCGCATAGGCTCTCTGCACCTGCTCGGTTTGTCGTAGTTCCTGCAGGCGTCTGACCATGTCCTTCATGATGAGGAGACGAGGAACTAGAAGGAGAAAGACAGGATGCAGGAAAAAGTCCTGAGCTACACAAAAGAACACTCAGTGAGCATAACCCAAAAAAATGATGTGTGTTTTTTTTTTGGTACCAGGGATTGAACTCAGGACCTTGAGCTTGCCAGGCAGGTGATGGTACCACTGAGCTAAATCCCTGGCCCTGGCATGTTTTATATTAGTATCTTCTCATAAATTTTTTAGATGGTAATTTAATTTCCTGGCAGTGTATTAATTTGTATGTCTCTAATTAGTTTTCAAGACTTTTAAAATTTCACTGTGCCCAAAGTCTCTTGATTATACCAAACAAATCCTAGGTTGTATTATTTTCAGTCCACAGCTCAAATAGAATTTTATTTGCTTGTATTTGCTTCCCAATTGCAAGATACTTCCTAAGTCTTTGAAATATATTCATTTTCAGGGCTGAGGATGTAGCTCAGTTGTACAGTGACTATGCAGTAGGTGCAAGACCCTGTCTACTTCTTCAGAAAAGAAATAAAAATAAACAAATAAATAAATACAATCTTTTATTTAAATAATTGAGTCCAGACTATGCACTCAGGGATTGGACTTAGGTATTGGGGTGCATAGAATGAAAGATGCAATCTCTTTTTCTTCTGGTACCAGGAATCGAACTCAGGACCTTGCACTTGCAGAGCAGGTGCACTGCCATTGAGCTAAATTTAATTCTTAAATAAACTAAGAATGTTAAAAGCCTGGGAAGAAGGGGCACACAGCCCAGACTGAGGGCAGAAAGGAAAGGTTTCCTACATGAAGGGAACTCCCTTTTGAGTCTTGAAGAATAAGGGAAAACTTGACAGACAAAGAAATTGGGGTGAAGGAGTTCCAAAAAGGACTAGGTATGTGTAAAACATACAAGCAAGAGACAGCCCAGTACCAGTAGCTGGCTTACCAGCAGAATGTAGGGTTCAATTATGTAAGCCAGAAAGTGTTAAGAGGAGGCTGGAAAGACATGCAGGGACAGACCATGGTTAAAGAATTTAATTGCATCCTGTAGTCACTTGCGCAGGGCAATGGCAGGATGAGAGCAGGGGTATGGTGAGTGCACTGTGACATTATGCAAAGCAGGGGAGGCAAACTGCCTGTGGGTTAAACCAAGGCAGCCACCTACCTTTCTATGGAAAGTTTTATTGGCACACACCCTTACTCATTCATTAGGTATTGTCTATGGCTGTGTGACTGTTAAGTACAGTGGTACCTTGGTTCAAAAACTTAATGTGCTTGATTTTGAAAAAGTCATGTTTGTGTTTGCATGGCAAAGATGGCTGTGGTGGTTTGTTACTCGATGCAGTTTGCAAACAAGAATAAAATTTTGTCAAACGCTTCTGTGTGCACACCAAATTGTTTGCAAACAAAAGTGTTCGTGAACTGAAGTGTGAACTGATGAAGATTATATGGCCCACAGAATCTAAAATGTCTATGATCTGGCCCTTTAAAGAAAAAGTACATCAACCCTAGGGGAAAAAAGCAGAATACCAATTAAGAATCTGAGCTAGGCTGGGGATTTAGCTCAGTGGTTCTACTACCTGCCTCGCAAGTGCAAGGACCCAAGTTCAATCCCTGGTTTTTTAAAAAAAGAATATGAGCTAAAGCTGTTGCCACAGACAGGGCTGGAGAGAGGTGATGAAGTCATAAACAGTTGTGATATAAAATGACTGGAGTGCTGACTGAATATTACTTTTAGGGGAAAGTGGAGCTATGGTTTACTAATTGCTTATTTTGTGCCAGTTAAACTCCTAAGCACTCATGATACTTCATTAAATCCTTACAACCATCCTCGAGGAGACAGTGGCCCCATTTCACAGATGAGGAAATTAATGTTCTGGGGGAGAAAACAGATTGACCAAAGTCATGCAAATAAAGAGGCAGAACCAGGATCCGATCCTATCAATCTTCTCCAATAATCTAGACAGCCTTTCACTAGAGAGGTGGGCAAGGATGCGGGAAGAAGCTAGAAAGACACCAGAATAGGGCCACATCTCATTAGCTAAACTACAAAGACAAGTCTTATTTTCCCGAGCATATGCAATTATGAATGTCTTTGGGTTTTTTCGATTACATTCTAAGGTGAAATTATTATAATTTCAACTACACTAACTTAGGTCTAAGAAACTATTACTGAAACTTTCACAAGTCAGCTAAAGAAGTATTTCTCTTCATTCTGTAATTCAAAGTATAACTTAAATAAAAGACATCAGTCCTAAAAGAAAATGTATGCATTCAATGAAAAGTTCTGCCATCACTGTCTATTATCCTTCACTGAAACAGAAGTGAATGGTGACATTTCCATTGCTACAGTTTGCTGAGTTTTACTTATTTTTACTTTATTCAGTTTTTGGAGACAGGATCTTGCCATGTTGCCCAGTCTTGGTCGCAAACTCCTGGGCCGAAATACTCCTCTCACTTCAGCCACCTGCGTAACAGGAACTATAGGGATGTGCCAGCATGCCCAGCTGCTGGTCTTTATTTCGCAACTGCTAAGGCAATTGGCAAGAGCTAGAAAGTGCTGACCACCAGATTTTTGTTACCTTAGAAATTAACATTAGAGACCACTAATTAAAGCCAATATTAACTGACTGATGCTCAGATGTTTTCTAGAAATGATAGCTGTACCTCAATCTATGGCCAATTCCCCCATAATTGTAAGACACAAGTCTACACTTTGGTAAACTTCACAGAGGACAGCCTGGAAAACTGAGCTTCTAGAGGCCAAGGATTTAGCTCAGTGGTTCTGCTGCCTACCTTGCAAGCACGAGGACCCAAGTTTGATCCCCAGTACAGGAAAAAAAAAAAAGAAAATTGAGCCTCTTGGGAACCAACAGTGATCACATTTTGGGGAGACACTGGCATATTCGAAGATGTAAGTTCATATTACTTTACCAAAGGGTATTATTGTATGTGGAAAATATGCTACAGTAATGAAAAATCTGAATTCCTTTAAACAAGTGGTTCTTAACAGAGGTGATTTTGCCCCATAGGATATATGTGGCAATTTCTAGAAATACAAGCTTCCAAACAGTACTACAAACGTAGGAGTATATGTGTGTGTGTGTGTGTGTGTGTGTGTGTGTGTGTGTGTGTGTGTGTGTGTGCATACACATGTGCTACTGGCATCTATGGAATACAGGCCAGGGTGTCGATGACAACCATCCACTACACACAGGACAGCACCCTACTGCATAGGATTATTCAGCTCTAACAACAGGGCCAGGGATCAGAAATCTTAGGCTCAAATGTAAAATTTATTAATAATTATTTCAATTGTGCATATATATTAAAAATACAAAACAAAAATAATAAATTTAAGTAATCTTTAAGAACAATACATAGAGTATTGAAATGTGGAATTGATGTGTATGTACACACGAGTCCAAATATCAGCAATCACAAAAAAATAAGATTATTCTTTTAAATATACATACCTCATAAAAGGCCTATCTTACCTGGAATTTCATTGGCTACAACTGAAGGAGGGCTTGACTGGTTACTGCTGATCTGCTGGTGGCTGATCATGTGGCAACACTGGGGCACAGCGTTGCCGACCATGTAAAGTGTGTCTGGCACATTGGACATCCTAACCATTCGCAAGCGCACAAGGTCTGTTTGCTCCACCATCATCTCGTCCAGCACTGACTAAAATAGAAATTCAGTATGAATAGAATTGGCCAACCATAAATCATAAATGAAGCAAGATTATGATTTTTACCATATATAAAGGGAATTCATTTATTGTTTATCATTTATGAAGTGTTATTTATTTATTTTCAGTACTGGAAATCAAATTCAGGACCTTGTGCTTGCCAGGAGCTGTGATGCTGAGCCACATTTCTGGCCCTTATGAAGTCTTAAATTAGTGGTGAAAAGAGAAAATACTCCTGCTTCTTTAATTTTTAAAAACATTCTGGAGTATCTTTGTAGATAACAATCACCCTCTGAAAAATCTGCTTTGAAATACAAGTTTTTGAAATTTGAAGGACATAAAAGTATTCAGGAGTAAGTTATACACTAAATTATTGTAAAGAAAATGTATACATGTGCTAAATATCAGATCCAATAAAAATATTCAAAATATTAAAAATTGATATTAAATTTAAGAAACATACTTTTGTTAAATCAGTTTCAAGCACATCTATCTCATCTAACTATAGAATAATCAAAATAAGATACTGGGGGAAATTATTCTCTCAGGGGTGGGCACAGTTATCTGAGGAGAACCACCCAGAGAACCACCTGATAGCTTCCAGATACCCCGTCTGGAGGCAAAGGAAACAAGGCTGGTCTTTGCATTCACCATATCTGACTTCTGTGAAGGCATTAGCTACATTGCGCATTGCACTGATTTCATAGAGACCAGGCCCAACTGTTCTTTTTTCCTGTTTTAGAACTATTAAAAATGTCAACCACCTAATAAAAGGTATATTAATCTAGTCAATAAAACAGATTTTTCACAAATCCTTTATTTTAATACTGGAAATTCTAGAAATTAAAAGAAAAAAATTTAAGTCAACTTGATTCTATGTCATATCACATTATTTTGCCTGTTAAATTTATTTCAGAAAGGTTACTAGTGATTCCTGACTTGAAAGACTGTTAGTTCTTCAAAAGGCCAGCCCAAAGTTCTATGTGTGAATACATCTAGTTAAAAATAACAGAGTATTGCACAGGTGGTGCATGCCTGTGATCCCAGCACTTGCGAGGCAGAGGCAGGAGGACCACTGTGAGGTCAAAACCAGCCTACACTGTGAGTTACATACTGAGTTCAAGGCCAGCCTAAACTACATAATGAGACCCTGTCTCAAAAAACAAAATAAACAAAATAGGGTTTCACTGTCGTTACCTTATTTTTTGGGAGAAATTTTGTTACAGTACACATAATGCTAATTACTTACTAGGCTTGAATTTCTGTCTCAAATTCACTTATTCTAAAACCAAAGCCAATTCCCAAAAGTCAATTATAATAGAACTATAAGAGATTATGTGTTTAGTTTATCAAGACAAAATGAATGCAATTCTTTCAGAACATTTTCCCCATCCACAAGATTGTGACATGCTGACAACTATTTCAGTAACATATTAACAATTTGCAAGGCAACTAATTTACAAGACAATATCATGAGAAAAATGCATTTTAATATGGTCTGTTTTTTTTTTTTTTTTTTTTTTTTGTGGTACTGGGGATCCAACTGAGGACACTCTGCTTGTGAGGCAGGTGTGGCACCACTGAGCTAAATCTCCAGCCTGGTCTAAGTTTTAAACATGTTTGATAATTAAATATTTCAGAAAACTATTCTGTTAAGTAGTCAAATTGGAATTTACTTTCATTTTCCCTCTGTCTGGACATTTAGGCCATTTCAAATATTTAAATAATGCACAATAAACATTTCTGTGCCTTAGTTTTAGACAAGGTCTTGCTGTGCAGTCCAGGATGGCCTCAAACTTGTTGCCATCCTCTTGCCTCAGCCTCCAGAGTGCTGGAATGTGCCACTATGCTGGGCTATATGTATGGTTTGTAAAAAAGTCGTCTAATACCTTCAAGTGGTTTCATTACCTTTGCTTCTTCCACATAGGGGGAGAACAGCCGAGGTCGAACGTATATACCAGCATTTTTTTGCCGTAGCCAGGCATTTGACTTTCCTCCTTCTGTTGTAGGAAGCATATCTGATGGGGGAGTACTAATTAAACCTCTTTTCATCTTAAAAGAACAAAAACAAAACAAAAACTTTTTTTTAATGAACTGAAGGTCCATGTGGAATTACAAGTATTATCAGACAAATATACAAGTCAAAACAAAGTTTACCATTTAATTTTTTTTTTTTTTTGTACTTGGGACCTTCCACTTGTAAGGCAGATGGCACCGCAGAGCTAAATCCCCGGCCCCAAAGTCTACCATTTAAATGAAAACTTAGGAAGGTATATCAAATTAAGAAATACCTCAAATGCTTAAAAATATCAAAAGGATTCAGCTATAAGAAAGTACTATAATTTCTCATTTTTGTGTTTTTAAAAAGAAAAGACATGTCAAATTTTCCCCTTATCTCTGCTCCCAACTCTTATGAAGACAAAATGAGAACATCAACTTGGCCTCTCTTTATAGAGTAAGACACTGGAATCCTCATTTAACAGCCATGTGACCAGGGATATTGTTTCACCTCGGCTTTACCTCATAGCATCCCTTATGGCCCTAAAAGTGGGGCACAGTACAACTAATTGTATAATGTGGCCTTGTTGTTTCCTTAATTGATCCTAGAAAACAAATCAAGTCTCTTAGCTCCAAAATGGTAGTAAAGCTTAAGTAAAGGACAGGGACTGGAGGTGTAGCATAGTGAAATATTTTTCTAAACTAAATACAGGATTCAATTTGGTTTGAATCTCAGGTTTCAAACAAAACTATAATTGAGTTTCTCCAACATTACTTTTATTAAATATGATAGCACCTAATCGATGCACTAGTTAAAAATATTTTTAATAAAAGATAGCATTTTATAGTACTTAAAATATAGAGAAAAGAAACTCAATACACTTATAGCAACTGAGATTATGTTCTTTCCTTCCAGTCAGTTTCAAATGAATTTTTACATAATTGATTACTAGTAGATAAAAATACATATTTTGTTTCCTCCTTTTTAAAAGTTGTATTCCATCATTAGCATTTTCCATGTTGGTATTAGTCTTCTCAGAACAACAAATTGTGCTGTTTATAATCAAACTATGCTTTAATTTCTCCTGTTATTAGAAATTTAAGGTATTGCCAGAGGTAAATGACATTAAACATCTTTGTACATATATGTATACACACATGCACATAAGATACACACACACACACACACACACACACACACAATTCCTAACAATATTTCTCAAAAGAAACATCAAAGGCAAAGTTATTGGGTCAAAGGTGAAGTTATCAGATCAAAGAATAAGAATGCTCTGATGACTCTTGATGATTTTTTTTTGGTGGCTGTTTTCCTCCACATGCTGGGATTACAGGTGTGCATCATCATGCCTGGCTTCTTGATAATGTTTTTAATGTTACCCATCTGGACTGCTGCAATACATGCTACCAGTACACCACTATACTTCCCTATGGGAGAGTAACAGCATTTCAAAGATTAATTACTGAAATGGTAAAAAAAACAAAAAAACCGAAACTTTTTTTTTTTTTTTTGCTTAATTTGGTAAAGGATTACAAGACTGAATATTTTTTACAATCAGATTCCATGAATAGTTGTTTTCCTAGATATTCTGTTTCAACTTAATAGGGATTAAGTTTGGGTGCAATGAAATAATTGTTTAACTTAAATTTCTTCCTTCTTACTAATCAGTTAATTTAGCAGCACACTGATTTGTAACAGCTCATTTATTATATTTAATTCTTATATCAATTAGGACTGGGCTATTTTGTCTTGTCTGTCATACTAGTATTCCAAGTTAGACATTAGTATTTTAAAAGGTTTTACCGCTAGAAAAGTTATCCCTTCTTCATTCTGTATTTTTTGAAGAACTTTAGAACAATGACCTCAATCTAAGCCTGCACCTTAAGAAGCTAGAAAAACAAAAACAAACTCAATCCCATGTTAATAGAAGGTAAGAAATAATAAAGATTAAGGCACAAATAAATGAACTTGACAATAAAAATACAATATAGAAAAAAAAATCAGTAAAGTGAAGGAGTTGGGCTTTTTTAAAAGAAAAAAATCAACAAAACTTCACATAGACTAAGAAAAGAGAACACTCAAATTTTTCAAAACAATCGAAGAATACAAAGTCTTCTCAAATTATTTCAAGAAATCAAAGAGGAAAGAATACTTCCAAATTCATTCTATGAGGCCAGCATGATCCTAATACCAAAACTGGACAGACATAACAAAATAAAAAGGAAAACTACTAATATCCCTGATAAACACAAATATAAAAATCTAGCAAGAAAATATTAGCAAATAATTCAAAATCACACCAAAAAGATCTCCACCAAGATTAAGCAGGATTTATCCCAGGAATACAAAGATGGTTCAATCAATAAATGTGACATACCACACTAACATAACAAAGGACACAAAATCATTTTTGTAAATGTAGCAAATCATATGGTCATTTTTATAGATGCAGATGAAACATCTGACAAAATTCAATATCCTTTCATGATAAAACCTCAACCACTAGGTATAGAAGGAACATATTCCAACACAGTAAAGGCCATATATTATGAACCCATAGCTAAAACCCTACTCAAAAGTTGAAAGCTTTGGAATAACACAAGGATGTTTATCCTTGCCACTTCTATTCAGCATAGCACTACTCAAGTCCTAGCCACAGAAATTAGGCAAGGGAAAAAACAAAAGGCATGCAAGCTGGAAACGAAGAAGTACAACTCTCCCTATCTGCAGATGACATGATCTTATTTTCAGATGACATAACCCCCCCCCAGTACTGGGGATTGAACTCAGGTCCTTGCGCTTGCAAGGCATGCACTGAAGCCACTGAGCTAAATCCCCGGCCTAGATGATATAACCTTATACACAGAAAACCAAAAAAAATCTGTTAGCTCTAACAAATTCACCAAATAGGACACAAAAAATCAGTATCATCCCTATGTACTGATAATGAGCTATAGGAAAAAGTAAAGAAACACTCCCATTTACAATAGCTACAAAAAATAAAATACTGAGGAATAAATTTAACAAAGGAGGTGATCTCTACTCTGAAACACTAAAACACTAAAGAAATACTAAAACACCAAAGACATTTAAAAAGATACAAATAAACGGAAAGATATCCTGTGTTCATAGATTGGAAGAATAAATATTAAAAGTGTGTACGGCTAAGGATTTAGCTCAGTGGCATGGTGCCTGCTTTGTAAGTGCAAGGTCCTGAGTTTGATCCCTGGTACGGGGTGTGTGTATTTGTGTCTGTTCCACATTGCTCAAAGCTATCTAAAGAGTCAATGCAGAGAGACACGCCTGCTCCCAACCCAGCCGCCATCACTCAAGTGCTGGGAGGTAGCCTGGGCCCTGATCCACCGCGGGAAGGAGAGCCATGCCTGCTCCCGACCCAGCCGCCATTGCTCAAGCGCCGCGAAGGTAGCCTGGGCCCCAATCCACCGCAGGAAGGAGAGCCACGCCTGCTCCCGACCCAGCCACCATCACTCAAGTGCCGGGAAGGTAGCAGCACAGGCGCCCCTGAACCCCCATAAGTCACCCTCCCCGCACTCTCAGACCTCCTAACTGTGCTAGTCTTTGGACCCACTCTGCAGAGGCAGAGGTGGTCATCAAGGGTATTTTTCTGAGTTCCCAACTTTGAACATCTTTAAAGAAAGGGCGTGGGAAACCTGCAATAGAATGGTGTGGAGTACAACCATCCAGAAGGTTGGGGAACTCAATCTGGGCCTTGCAGCCTGAGGTCAGTCAGCATCATGGGGTTCAGCCATCAACTAACTGAGACCAGGGGATTTGCATCCTCGCTCTGTCTAAGCCATTAAATGGTAAATACACTATAATGAAATTTTGTTCACTGCAGACATGTTCTGGACTGCTTCTTGATTTCAATTTAATTCAAATGATTTAAGGGTGATAGACTAGTGACTACCACAGGTGGTCAGTGTCCAAGTTGTGCTTGATCTTAATGTGTTGCTGATTGTATCAGTTGGGATAAAGCATTGCGGATGATTTGATGAGCTGTTTCTCTGATGTTATGAAGATGAGAATGTCTGTGGTCATTAGAGACACAGAAGCTAGGGCGCAACTATATCAGGAAGATTTGGGTGATAACCCAGAGATTAAACCAAGGACAGTCCGACAACAAAAATAAAAATGAGAAAACACGTAAGCAAGACACAAGAACAGACTTCCAGTTCACCAGTGGCAAACACGAGGGCAAATGAGGATGAAAAGGCCGATAGTGAACCACCAGGACACCCTGCACTCAAAGCACAGGAAGTAACAAAACAGATCAATCAGGCTCTAGAAAAATTCAAAACAGAACTAATTTCCCAGATAACCATAGAAATAGTGAGAAAAATGGAAGTCGTGATTTAGAGACTCTAGAGCAGAAACTGACAAAAAAATAGATGAGCTCAAGACCATGATAGGAGCCATGAAGGCCCAGCATAAAAAAGAAACAGAAAAAATAAACACCCAACATAGGAAAGAAATGGAATCCATTAAACAGATTCAAACAGATATCCGGGAGATTAAACACTCCATAGAAAGTGTACGCAACAGAATAAAAGAATGCGAAGATAGAGTCTCAAATATAGAAAAGATTGCAGTCAGTGACCATGAAAAGAGAGGTCTCTTAAAAACACTAAGGGATCATGAGAAATCGATCCAACAACTCCTAGATGATGCAAAGAACAATAACATAAGACTGATAGGAATCCATGAAGTAGCAGGAGAAAATACAAATGACTTAAAAAAGCTGTTCACAGAATTAATGACAGAAAACTTCCCAAACAGAGGGGAAGAATTTGACATTCAGATAACTGAGGCATATAGGACCCCAACTAGCTACAATAAAAAAAAATCTACACCTAGACATATAATAATCAAGATCCCAGAAACCCAACAGAAGAACAAAATACTACAAGCAGTAAGAGAAAAGAAACAAATCATATACAAAGGAAAGCCCATCAGAATCACAGCAGGCTTTTCAACACAAACCCTTGGGGCAAGGAGAGCCTGGAATGAGATAGTTCAA